GAACTCGGAGTGGAATTGTGGGGTCATATGGAAAGTATGCAGCAGTTGTAACATCGTACATTCTCACCAGAAGTAGATGAGTTCCCGCGGCTCCACATCCTACCTGACATTTGATGTTGTCTTTTTATTTCTAGTGGGTGTGAAGTTGTATGTAATTTGGTTTTGATTTGCGTTTCCCTGATGACTATGATATTGAACATCTTTTCATGTGCTTCTTGGTCATTTATGTATCCTCTTTTGGGAAGTGTCAGCTCAAATATTTTGCTCATTATTTGATTTTCATCTTTTGTTGTTTGTGATAGTTACTTTATGGATTCTAGATATTGTCCGATGCATGTGTCACGAATATTTTCTCCAACTCTGGGGCTTGCCTATTCATTTTCTTAATGATGTCTTTCAAACAGCAGATATTGTTCATTGTGATGAAGTCCTGTGTACCCATGTCTGTTCTTTTATGGCCTGTGCTGTTTGTATCCATTCTAGGAAACCTCTGCATACTGTGAGGTCCTGAAGCTTATCTTCCTATGTGTTCTCATAGGAACCTTATGGCATCTGCTTTTACACTGAGGTTTATGATCCACCTCATATTAATTTTGTGCACAGAGTGGAAGAGGGGTCAAGGTTCATTTTTATCCTTACTGATAACCAGTTGTTCCAGAAATGTTTGCCAAACAGCCTTTCCCCATCGAATTGCTGGGACCGCTCTGTCATGTAGGTTTCTCTCTGGCCTCTCAATTCTGTTCCATCGTTGAATCTGCCTGTCCTATGTCAGTGCCATGCTTTCTGCAACTCCGTAGCTTTAAGCAAGTCTTGAAATCAAGTAGTGCAAGCCCTCCAATTTTGTTCTCCCTTTTGGAGATTTTTTTTCCCTATCTTACATTCTCTGAACTTCCATATAAATTTTAGAATCATCCTATTTCTTCAAAATAGCTTGTTGTAATTTTGATAAGAATGCATGTATGTACATCTATGTATCAAATTAAGGAAATAGAAATCGTTAAAATTTTATAAATTCCTATACATGAACATTAATTTAGGCCTTACAAAATTATGCTTAGTAGTATTTCTAATTTTCAGTGCAGAGGTTTTAGTATCTTCTGTTAGGCATATATTCTTGGGTGATTGATATTTTTGGTGTTAATGTAAATGGTATTTTTAAAATTTCACTTCCAATTGTTCATTCTTATACAGAAGTGCAGTTAATTTTTCTCTTTTAACCATGCATCTCTGGCCTTGCTATATCTACAAAGTCTAGTAGTTTCTTTGTATATTCCTTTAGATAGTCTATGGAGATAATGAAACTGTCTGTGACTAAGGACAGTCTTACTTCTTTTCCAGTTTTCACACCCTTTTCTTATTTTTCCTTGTAACACTTGGCTGGTGGACAGCGCAGGTCATATAGTCACCCGGGGTCTCTGGCCAGGCGCTCAGTCTCTGTTAGGGCCACTATCACGTCAGACGCTGCGTTTTGAACAGTGACTAGTTCTCTGCTACAAAAGACATAGTCCTGTTCTAGGACCTTGGCTTCCCCATTAGAGTTTCCAGAGATGCCCCTTGGCACCCACTTCACCCTTGGGCACCACCAACACCATGACTGTGTCATAGAAGAACCTGCTAGAAGAAGCCACGTGCACTCTGGCCTCACCCAGAACCAACAGCCTTCCATTCCCAAGGAGGTCTGTGCGATCTCCAAAATCCACTGGGGCCCGCCCTGCCCTGTCCTTGTCTTCTTGGCAAGTGGGACGGGCCATCCCTTAGAAGCCAGTCCTGGCATGCCCAGACCGCTGAGCCTCTGGCGTCTTCATCTGGGGCAGACCTTGAGACTGCAACCTTCACCTCCTACTCCTGGGAATGGGTACATCTTAAATCCACCCAAAGAACTTGCCCATTGGTGCCCCCCAGCTCGTTTCCTGCCACCAGTAGAGTGTGCCCGCAGGCTGTTCTCCGGCCTGTTGGTGCCCCATCAGGCCTGCATTGTAACAGAGCTGAAGGATCAACATTGGCCGGGCAGGGCCTCTTGCAAGCGAGGCAGATTGTTTCCGATCCTCCTTTCTGACGGGAGTTGAAGGAGGATGCATGCCCCACTCAGTAGCCACACAGCGAGTTCAGGGGCACTGCCCTCCCTGTCCATCAACAGATCAGAGCCCGCAGAGCGCCTGGCTGCAGGCTGTGACTCAGTTCCGTTTATGTGATCCATGATCATTCATCACCATCCAACGATCTGGAAATTTTTAAATTTATTTTACTTTTAAGATATTTTTTAGTGCAGTTTTAGTTTCACAGCAAAACTGAAAGGAAGGCAGAGATCTTCCATGTGCCCCCTGCCCCCCACCTGCACAGCCCCCCATCACCTTCGTCACTCAGAGGCCAGTGCTTACATGAGGGTCCCTCTTGCTGTTGTGTCCTAGGGGCTTGGACAAACGCATTGCATGTGTCCATCACTATGGTATCACACAGATTGTTTTCATCGACTAGAAACGCTCCACTCCTTCTTTTCATCCCTCTCTCCCTCCGAATGCCTGGCAACCTCCCGTCTCTTCACTGTCTCCACGGCTTTTTGCCTGTTCCAGACGACAGAGCTGGAATCGTACGGTATGTAGCCTTTCAGGTCGGCTTCTTTCACTTAGTCTCATGCATGTAAGGCTCCCCCAGGTCTTTTCATGGCTTGATAGCTCATTCCTTTTTAATACTGAGTAATATTCCACTGTTCGGATGGGCCACGGTTTATCCATCACCCACTGAAGGACATCTTGGTTGCTCCCAAATTTGGGAAATTATGAATAAAATTGCTATGAACATCCATGTGCAAGTTTTTGTGCAGACATGAGTTTAACTTTTCTGAGTAAATACCAAGAAACTCAATTCCTAGATCATATGATAAGAGTATGTTTTGTTTTGTAAGAAACTGCCAAACTGTCTTGCACAACGACTGTACCTCGTTGCTTTCCCACCAGCGGTGAGAGTTCCTGTGGCCCCACGTCCTCACCGGCATCTGGCGGTGTCGGGGTCACGGGCTTTGACCATTCTCGTAGGTGTGTAGCGGTACCTCATTGTTGTTTCACTTTGCACGTCCCTGATGACACACGATGTGGAGCATCTTTTCATATGCTTATTTGCCATCTGTATATCTTTCTGACGAGGTGTCTTCAGCTTCAGTTAAGGTCTTCAGCCCCTTTTTAATCAGGCTGTTTGTTTTCTTATCGTGTTTTAAGAGCACTTTGTGGATTTTGGGTAATGGTCCTTATCAGATATGTCCTTGGCAAATATTTCCTCCCAGACTGCAGCTTGTCTTCTCCTTCACTTCACATTGTGTTTCACAGAGCAGAGAATTTTGATTTCGATGAAGTGCAGCTGATCAGTTATTTTTTTCATGGTGGTGCCTGTGGTGTTGTATCTAAAAAGTCACCACCATACCCAAGGTCAGCTAGGTTTCCTCCTATGTTCTTTTCTAGGAGTTTTTAGTTTTTTGTTTTACATTTATGTCTATAATCCATCTTGACTTAATTTTCGTGACAGGTATGAGGTCTGTGTCCAGATTCATCTTCCTACCTGCGGATGTCTAGCTGCTCCAGCACCATTTGTTGAGAGACTATTTTTGCCCCATTGTGTCGCCTGTGCTCCTTTGTCAAAGATCAGTTGCTGTGTTTATGGGTCTGTTTCTCGGCTCTCTATTCTGCTCCGCTGACCTGTGTCTATTCTTTTGCCACATTTGTCTTTTCTTTTATCACATTGTCTTGATAACTGTACCTTTATAGTGAGTCTAAAAGTGCAGTGGTGTTGGTGCTCCAATTTTGTTCTTCTCTGTCACACTATGTTGGCTGTTCCAGGTGTCTCTCTATAACCTTAGATCAGTTTGTCAACATCCACAAAATAACTCACTAGGACTGGATTGCACTGAATCTGTAGATCAACTGGGAAGAACTAACATCTTGAAATATTGAGTCTTCCTATCCATGAACATGGAATATCCATTTATTTAGATCTTTGATTTTGTTTGTCAGAGTTTTATTGTTTTTCTCATATAGATCTTGTATATATTTTGTTGGATTTATACCTAAGTTTTCATTATTGACCCATCAGACTTTTGCTGCGGTCATACTGGTGAATTAAGGTCTTTGAGAGTTGCACTGTCTGTTTTTGTATCTGGGAATCAGTATGTTTTGCTAGACTCTTGGCCATGGGAGTAGAGGTGGTTTTAAAATCTTTCCTTTGGTTTTTCCTACAATTATGGCTCTTACACATGCTAAGTACGGCCATCATGACAGACACCAGATGCTGAGGAAATGACCACAGGGTAGGCCTGCACTCTGTACCCACTGTGAGTGAGTCAGATCAGGTCTCAGTACTGTGCAAGCTGCACACTAGTGGAGGGAGGGCATGACGCATCCCCTCGTACTGGCATCAGCTCAGGCCCTGAACCCCGAAACCCTCAAGGACCTGGCACTTCCCCTGCACATGTGGCCTCAGGTCCCTTTGGAGGAGGTCTGGGGGAGCTGCTGCTTCATGCACTCGCCATGGGATTCAGGCCCTTGCCCGGGAGCCCAGGATGTGGGCTGTGGCCCAGAAGCTGGGCAGAAAATGTCCCAAGAGGCAAAGAGGATGGAGAGCCTGCTGAGTTAAGGCACATGGAGGCTACTGGGACCCTAGTGTGGGAGGCTCGGTGGGGAAGGGGCTGCAGCTGGCTGCAGGGGGCTGGCGAGGGAATTCAAGGTAGAGAACTAGAACAGTGAGAATGGGTGGAGGAGGTGGCATCAGATGCAAGGAGAGGTCACCCTGCCTAGGAGAGGGGATATTCCACCTGGAAAGACCAGACCAGGCTGTCGGGGGGGCCGTGGGTGTCCCCTTCGCTGGCTGCAGCTTCCTCTTTGAACTAGAAGGTGCGGGTGGAGGGGAATGTAGAAAGTTTGAAATTGCTCTCTGCACAGAAGCTTCACCCACTTCTGTGATTTTTGGCCGGGGATATTCTCCACATAGGTATGCAAACAGAGGCAGACACCTTCTCCATTGTTACGTCCAGTTCACTAACTTACTCAAGGTAAGATCCATAGATACATACCACAGAACAGCAACCCACAGGTAAGACCCGACCTTAAGCTCCAGGTCCCATGCAGACCCTCGTTTTTCAGAGCCTTGACATTACATGGGATGGAGCAACACATGTCACATCAAGTTCACAGCACCCTCACAAGGTCACAGCTCCAGGAGGCTGCTGCCCAGCACCCTGGACAGTTTGAGGTGGCCCCTGGGGACAAAGCCTCCACCACTCACCACCCACCTCCAGGTGAAGCCCATTCCCTCTCCAAATGCCCTGGGAGCCTCCGTGAGGCAGCAGAGACTGGGGCTGGGGGCAGCTCAGCTGTCTTCCCCTCCAAGAGTCTTGGTCTTTTGGAACATGCTCTGCATGGCTGAGATCCGGTCTGTATCCTGGATGTTGAAGACCTGGAACTGCAGGTGGGGCAGGGAACAGCGGGTCACAGAGACATCTGGGAGCCCATCACAGGGCCCCGAACACAGTGCAGGACCACACGGGCTGCCTGACCTCTGGGCCTTCCTGCCCCAGGCCTCTCCCCACCAGCCCCCCCGACAGGTGTACCCACCTGGGGCCCTCTCCTCCAGGGCCCTTCCTCCCACTCAGGTGTCTCTGGACGAGCCTGGCACAAAGGAGGCCCCACCAGGCCCTTGGTGAGGGCTAAGTGTGCACCATCCCTCCGACTACTACCCCCCACCCCCATGTGCCCTGGAAGGAGACTCTTCAGGCCATCTGGGGTGCAGGGGGTGGGCTTGGCCTGGGCAGAGGAGCAGCAGGGAGCTGTGTGAGGACACAGCTGGCGAAAACGTGGGCCAAGGAGGGGCAGCTGGTGGAGCAGCCGGTCCCCCAACAGCAGGCCAGGGGATGCAGTCCCAAGGGACATGGCACGGGACTCCTGAGTACAGGGATGCAACCAGAAACTGCCCCGGGAGACCCAGGGATGGCCATACCCCTCAGGAGGAAGGGAGGCCAGGGTAGGCGGGAGGGGCTCTGAGTGCCCACTGACCGTGGGTTTGGAGCTGCTTCTGGCGGGGAGCGGGTGCAGGCACGCTGCCCTCATCCCCAGAAAGCATCCCAGGACCCGTGGGCCACTAGCGGGTGGGGTGCACTCTTGGTGTCACACCTTCCCGACAGAGGCTCTGTCCAGAGGACTGACCTGGCCTGGACCTGGAGGAAGACCAGGGCTCTGTCCCACCACGTGTGACCCTGGGTCTGCCCAAGCCCCCTCTGCCAGCTGCACCCACCTTGTCCAGCAGGACGTCAAAGAAGGCAGTGGCCCAGTAGGAGGGGTCGCTGGCGGGCAGCTGCAGGAGCGCCTTGACGCCATTGTCGATACGCGGCGGGGGGCTGCGGCCCAGGTGGGTGACATGGATACGCAGGGACACCTCTGGCTGGCTGGCAAAGTGCTCCACATGCCGGTAGAGGACGTTGAGGTCCAGGCCGGCATCCTGCAGCAGGTTCCACTCGGGGTGGAGGAAATGGGGCAGGTTCCTGGTGGCCAGGCAGCAGAGCAGAACCACCAGCAGGCGGTACACTGCGCCCTGCAGCTCTGCCCAGTCCTCAGGCCCTGGGAAGAGCGTCGAGGCCCACAGCAGGACCATCTGTGGGTGCGTCAGTGGGGTCAGGCCCGGTCCAGTCCAGCCCACCCAGCCCGGCCCACCCGAGCACCCGAGCACCCTCTCCAGAGCAGTCCCATTCCATGTGTACCCCTCCCTGGAAGACCCCTGCCTCCAGCACCATCCCAACCCTTCACACGTCCCCTGGACCTCCCCGGCCGCTGCCCCCACCCTGGTGCCCCCTGGCTCCTTGCAGCCAAGTCCAAGCTCAGCAGGCCCCTGAGGCCCCACCACTGCAGCCCCTCTGAGCAACCCAGGACCCCTCTGGCAGATTCTGCCACTCCTACCCTTCCTCTGGGCCTTTCCTTATGCACCCACCCCTGAACTAAACTCCTACTTATGCTCTGAAGCCCCACCCAAAGAGCCCCACAGTGGGGCTAGCTGTAGTCAAAGCCACAGAACAGACTCCCATGACCACCCCAGGTGCCCTCTCCTCCCTCTGCCCCTGAGCCCCCACCAGGGCCCCTCTCTGCTACTCTATTACCTGCTGCACCTCACATTGCCCTCCCATCAGCAGCCCCTGCACCCCTGTTCAATGTGGGGCTTGGGAGCACATAGACTTGGCCCCCACTTAGAGGTGGGCTAGAGGCCTGAGAGGGCAGTGAGTAGGTCACATGGGGACACGGCAAAGCCACCTTCTGTGCCAGGTGGACCACCCCTGTTCACACCAACTCCCATCCAGGGAGCCCCACCCACTTCCTCTGGCACTGCGCCCCACCATGGCACCTGACGGTCCCAGCAGCAAGGAAGAGTGACAGGATTGGGCTGACTCCTCCCAGAGGGGCGCCCCCAGCAGGTAACATTCACAGACACGGGGCCAACACCAGCTGGTGGGATGCCAGCTCTGTGCCACCACCAAGCTCTGGCTGAAAAGCCAGCATCCCAGGGCCAGGAGGACCTCCACAGTCACCAGCCTGGATGGCAGAAGTGTTTTTGAAGTGCCACAGTGACCTGCAGCCAGAGTCGTCATTCGGCCACAGCCTGGCCTCCCGGGACACCAGGTGAGGCCTCTGGTTTGGAGCTCACTCCAGGCCATCCGGCCACCAGAGCTGGCAGGAGGGTCTGCCCTTGGCGGAAGACACGGGCCTGGGGGAAGCAGAGTGGGGCCGGGTACCCACGGGGCCTACGCCTACCTTCAGGTGGCCAAAAGTCAGGCCTGGGCTCTGGCCACCGTCACGCCACCTCTCATGGTTGACTCGGTCCAGGATGGAGAGGCTGTCCAGGTGGTGGCCCGGGAGGGAGCCCAGTGCGCTAAGCAGCCTGGGGAGCAGGTGGTCAGTAGAGATTCTGGAACCGAGAAACACACCCTAGGTCAACATCAGCCTGAACACAGGAACCTGCACCCACAGCTCACCCAGAAAGGAAGGTCCCCACTTGCACGGCCTCCCCAGGACTGGAAGCTCCTGAGCCCCACGGGGTGGCCCAGGTCAAAACAGGCACCGTCCTGTTCCTCCACCCGGCCCCCTTCTGCTTTTCAGGAATAGCCCCTGGTGGGTGGGCCATGGGTGTGAAATGGCCGTTTTCACACAGATGCCCAGGTCCCAGAACTTGGGCAGACATAGGGAGCCTCCAGGCCAGCCTGGCTCTCTGTGCGGACAGTAAGGTGCCACTCTTGCCCACCCAGGTGGAGCATTGCCTCCGGTCCCTGGGCAGGGGTATGGGTGTGTAGCATCTCCCCCCATACATCACTCTGGATGTCCAGCCCCCCAGGAAGCCACATGACCCAGAATGTGCCCCCCAGCAGAGCCCGGGGCGCTGGGCACCGTGCACCAGCAGCCCTCACTATATGCTTACTGAGCAACTGAAGGGGTGGGAGCTGAGGCCAGCGTCTCACGGGCCCCCTCCGGAGTCTCGGACTGGACACCGTCCCCTGAGTGCCCCGAGTCTGGGCGACTTGTGGGCATGACTGCCCAGCCCACCCTCCCCTGCCTTGGCAGGTGGCGGCCACTCACCGCCTGGATGCAGCCCTGCTCTGTGCAGAGATGGGGGCGGTCCTTGGGACAAAAACCCCCGTGAAGGGCGTAGGCAGCTCTACCCCTACCCCTTTCCCATAACCGGCTCACTGTATCAGGGACCCCCGCCTCCCTCAGCCCTGTGCCACCTCCCCGAAGGCGTCACTCGGCGTGGGAGTGGGTGGGTCGAGTCAGCTGGCCGAGGGCTGCTGCTTGAGCAGCGGGAGACCTGAATGGGCTGGGGTCTCGAGGGGAACTCTGCCCTGCTCCCCCCGCGGACACTGACTCAGCCTCCCTTCCGTGTAGGTGTGGCCCCCGCAGAGCCCGCAGGCTGTGGAGCTGACCCCAGGGCCCCAAGGAGGGGCTGCTGGGGCGCCAGGGCCGGGCGGGGCAGCCAGCACTCCAGACGTAGGACCCCTGGCAGGCAGGCACCTCGCACCGCGTCTAGAAAAAGCCGCCCAGAAGGAGGAGCTAGCGAAGTCCTGGCGCTAACCCATCTCATCAGACACGTACTGTCCTCAGTGCGTGCAGGACCCTCACTGCGCGCACACCTCTGCCGGGTGCTCGGGGAGCCCACTGGGACCCCAGACAAGTCACCCATCCCCTATGCCGCGTTCCCACAGGGAAGGACGGCGAAGGCGCTGGGCCAGGCTGTGAGGGGCCCTGTCCAGGGCAGCCTCCTGCACCTGGGCGGCAGAGGGCACGGCTCCTCCCACCCCACAGCTCAGAGGGGGGAGGTAGCCAGTGGGCAGTGAGCATTCCAGCCAGATCCCAAATTCCCCAGAGATCCCAGTGACATCAGCAAGGGGCAGATGCCCGCTGGCAGAGGCAGGTGGGGGCCCTACAGATCCTCCTGCCCCAAGGGAGGGGAGCAGCGGGGGCGGCCCCCTTCCTGCTGGCTCCGCGGGACCCCCAGGCCCAGGAGGTGCGTCTTACCTCCAGTGGTGGGCGCTGGCCGGTACCAGGGCTACCTCTTGGCTGAGGATTCTTCTCAAGCTGCCCTCGGGGAACCCAGGCGTCCGCTGGGACCCCTCCAGGGCGGGCAGCCTGTGCTTCCTCCTCACCACGGGCACGACATTGAAGCGCATCGTCCTCCAGCCACCGGATACCAGCAGGCGCAGGTGGGGGCCTTCCTCCCTCAGGCTGTCCACACTCAGGGCGCCTGTAAGGACCCGCTGTGCCTTTGCCAGGGCCCTGCACTGCTCTCCTCCCCCCGCGGCATGCAGCCCTCCCCACCTCTCACCCGCAGCCCCCTCTGCTCCGGTAGGCCCCACCTGCAGGCTGCTGCCGACCCCCGGGCCTGCATATACCCCGAGCCTAGCCAGGCGTAGGGCTGGGCAAGCTTGCACAGCTCATGTGGCTGGCTTCTGTCCCCCAAAAGTCGTACGTGGAAGCTCTGACCCACAGCACCTCTGACTGGCTATATTTGGAGATGGGGATCTTTAAAGGGATGAGTCAGGTAAAATGAGGCCTTTGGGGTGGGCGTCATCCAACACAACCAGTCGTTACAGGAGAGGGTCACGTAGAGGACTCAGAGAAGGCCAAGTGAGGACACAGCAAGAGGGTGGCACTCGCATGCCAAGGAGAGAGGCCACTCCACCCTGACACAGGCCTGTTTGCCCATCAGTTAGAGGAAGAAAAGGGTTCAGTGAACCTGGTCCCTCCCAACTGAGGCACCTATCTTGGTTGGTGGCTTCATTTCCTTATCTACCACTGGTCACACATTTTGTCCATGAATGGTGGCTTGGAAGGTGGCCAGCCGCACCCACAGCTGCCCCAGCCTCTCCCCACCCCAGTGCCAGCCTGGTCTCACCGGTTCTTCCCCAGGCAGGGGCAGCCTTGGCCCTGCCACCTGGGGCTGTTGGCTTCCCTAAGGTAAGTGTCAGGAAGCAATGCCTGGAATTTCCCTGCATGCCCAGTGCCCTCAGGTGTGGCTCCAGCCTCGCCCCCTTCTCAGCCCTGAAGCTGAGGACAGCGGGGACCTGGGGACAGGGCAGAGCCTGGTGCTCACCCCAGCAGGTAGGGTGTCTGTCAGGTCCGGCAGCTAGCCTGCAGGGCCAGGGCCAGGCGGACACAGCCGGGCTAGGTCACGCTGTGTTAGGGCTCTGCCCAGCTGCCTGTGGTAACTGGGGGTTTCAGAAGATGCCCAGAGAAGACGTTGGAGGTCAGGGCTCTGGGAGTGCCTAATGACACGCCCTGGCTATCCTGTGAGGGTTCTGTCATCAGCCCCGGAGGGTGGCCACCAGGTGGAGATGGGCGAGTTGTAAGTCACCTCTTCTGCTCCTGGAAGTCTGTCCAGAGAGCCACACACTGGCAGCCCAGGGCGGGTCATTGTCCCTCAGGTGTGCTGACCCCACTTGCTAACCTCACAGCAGATGTGAGGACCAGGTGAATACCGGGTGGCAGCCACCACCATGTGCCTGTGTCCTCCCAGTCCCTGCCAAGACAGCCTGATGGTTTCCCCGACCCCCGGGAAGATGGGCTCATCACTGGGGCCCCTGCTGTCCTGGGTGCAGCACCTGCTGGAGGGATGCCCACTGCTTCTGGCCCTGCCACCCCAGAGCACTTCAGAAAGGCACCCAGAAGGGACCCTGAGGCCAGGCCCCAACACAGAGCCTGCTCAGGGCCCAAGACACAATAAGCAACTGGGCCATAAATGGAAACAATCTGTGCACATAGGCATAGACACCCACACGCACATTCACACGTGTGCACACATATGCACACCCACATGTACACACACACAGTCCTCCCATCTCAGGGCATGTGACCAAATGCAGGACGTGGGGACAGCTCTAAGGACGGTCCTGCCAGAGTGGGGCTGACGACAGAATCACCTGCCCAGAATGGTGCCAGGGACCCTCCACCAGGGGGTCAGCTGGGAAACAGCTACTGGGTGCAGTGGTGAGGCATTCAAAAAGTACCATCCATTCCAGTGTCACCACCAAAAATCCACCACGCAGAACACACATGACATGGGACACATGATCTGTCTGGAACTAGAAAGGACCTCAGAGCAGGGTCTGCCAACCGCTGTACCCCCGAGCACACTGAGCAACCACACATCGCCGTCACACACGTGTGCGCACACACGCGAGCAAAGCGGTCCAGCTACCTGGAGAGATTATGCTCTGGTGCTTGCAGTGCACAATGGCTGCCACCAGCAGGTCCTTGAGGATGCGCAGGACCTTCCTGGGTACGATGTGGCCACAGCAGTTGGCGCTGCCCTCTGAGGAGACGCTGAAGACGTCGTCAGACATCCACCGCTCCAAGCCAGCCCCTTCCCTGGGGACGCCCAGGCAGAAGGTCGGGGGGCCATCCCCTGCCTCAGTGGCCTCCACCTCTTCAAGCAGGAGGGCCTCGGTGTCCACCCACAGGGGCACCTCCATGTCCAGCGGATCCTCTGAGGAGCGCAGGGCGAACTGGAAGGCCTCCAGGCCCCGGGAGTAGTCCACGAGGAAGCGGGGGTCCAGTGTGTGCACGCGCTCCAGCACCGTGAAGAGCACGTTCTCTGCACGCTGGTGGTCCTGTGCCCGGTTCGCCTCCCGCGAGCGGATAGCCTGCAGGTAGTGGTGCCACAGGGGCACCTGCACTGCCATGGCTTTGCCAGGGCAGAGGGCAGTCCCTAGGCCGGCTCTGAGGCAGCTGTGCAGAGGCACCTGCCCAGGTGAGGAGCCACTCCGCAGGCGGGGCCTCTGCAGGTGGGGCCTCCGCAGGTGGGGCCTCCGCAGGTGGGGCCCCAGCTTCCCCCACAGAATTCCAGAGTGATGGGCGGTCAAATAGCTGGACTGGCCCAGGCTTTTGAAGTGAGGGTGAGTCAGTCACCAACAATTAGAACGTCTCAGGGCAGGGAGGCGGGGCCTACTTATCACCTGGGGGAGGCCCCTGGGCTCCTCCCTCCCTGCGCACTGACGTCGCATCTTAGGTCTAAAGAACCTTCAGGCCCAGGACGGCCCTGGACAAGTTCACCTTTGGAGATCCTGCCCCTCCTGGGCTTGGCCACCTCCTTCTGCTGTCCCTGGAGGTTGGTGGCTCATTCCTGGGGTTCCCCTCCCACCCTCATCTAACCTAAGGGTCTCTGTCACATCAGGGCCTCCCCACCAGACTGGAGTGGGGGACAAATGGCATCCCCATTGCTTGGATGAGAAAGATGAGGTGGAGCATCAGCTGGCACAGACCCCCCTGCACGGGGGCCTCTCCGAAGGCAGCCTGGGGAGCTGGGAGCCTCGGGCCATAGCAGCCTGAACAGCCCCTCAGGTACCTATCCCCCTTAAAAGCTGGGAGCCTCGAACTTGGCCCTGCAGCAGCCGAGGTCTGAGTCCTGCCTCGCCCCTCGTGGGCTGTGCATCCAGGCACAGCACCCACCTGGGCCGGGAGCTGACGAGTGTGTTTCTAGGGGAAGTGTCCTTGGCTCTGCGTCACCGGGCTGGAAAGCCTTGCCCTGCCAGCCCTTCCAGCACCTGGGCTGGGAGGCTGCATGGCCCTGCCACTTCCCTGGTCAGGGCTGTGCAAGTCTCAGCGAGCAGGGGAGGTGCCCCTGACAGTCATCCGCCAATAGGCTGACCCGCTGTCAGGCTGGAGCGTCTGCAGTGAACGCAGACACCCCCATGCAGGTGTGCACTGATGGCACCACAGAGCTCTCCTGGGGAGCCCCCACTCCCACCCACATGGCCTCAGACACCCGGGGAGCAGAGCCTGAGCCCAAGCCGCAGGCAGAACCAGATGCAAGGCCCTCATTTCCTGGTGCACTGGAGCCTCTTTAAGAAGCTACAGCCCCAGTGCGAGGGCCTCTGCTTTCACACGTCCCAGGACGGGGAACTCACCACCTCACAGGGTGGTCCATGCCATGGTGGAGCAGGAGACAGACTTCTCTCCTCAGACATGGCCCAGCCCTGTCCTCTGGGGTGCCCCTCTCCCAGGGCAGCTGCTCAGGGTCAAGGACCCAGGCACCCGTGGCCCACCTCACACCCTGCCTGCCCCCTGCGTTTGACCCCAGAGGAGCCCCATACTTCATAGGCCTGCAGGTCACAGCACCCAGACCCCGACCCCCAGGCCCGGGGACAGCGCCCTGGCTGCCACAGCCCTGCTCGCGCCCCTCCCCTCTGCCCGCACCCTCATGGGCCCTCTCCACTGTCTGTGTCAGCTCCCTCCGCCTCTCTCCTAGCAGGACCCTTGGGAGACCCCAAGGGCATCTGCACAACCATCAGTCCTGCCCCTCCTGGGACTCGCTCCTTGCCCAGTAAGGCAATAGTCACAGGCCTGGGGGCTGCGATGTGGCCTCGATCCAGCTGACCACAGTGGGGCCACACCAGGACACTGTCCACACCGGCCCTGCACTCACCACCTGCTCCCAGAGCCCTGGGCCACCACTCCAACTGCCCAGCCCTGCCTGGGCCACACTTGGACGCCCTGCTAGGCTAGGCAGGCATGCCCTGGCACCTGCTGGGGCTGCTCACCCTCAGGGTACACACGACCATCAGACTCAGAGAGAAGAAGCCTAACTCAGCGCTGCCTCCACGAGACCCTGGGGAAGAGCCCCGCCTGCTTCAAAAGCCCTCCACAGAGAAATGAGGAGGCTGCACAGGAAGGGCCCCCAGGGAGCCTGCACACTGGGACAGTGTCAGGATCGTGGCCACTGCCCGCCCGGAGACCAGCAATCCTTTCTGCAGGACGCCTCTCCCAGGGAAGCAAGTCCTCGTGGTAGGACACGGGTGTTGCTGAAACGGGGGTCCGAGCATGACGAGTGCCAGCGGGTCCCTCCTGCGCGAGGCCTCTGAGGGCTTTAGCCTGGAACGGCGATGCTTACCCACCGGAACCCCGGCCTGGCTCCCAGATGCTTCCCGGGTCCCAGCAGTCTGCTCGTGGGCAGCCCCTTCAGCGTCTAACTCTGGTGTGGGGTGGCCTACGAAGTGACATCCAGTGACGAAAGACACGCAGTTAAGTTAGAATTAATCTATGGACATAGTTGTGACATTTATTTTTTGCCTACGAAGCATGCAGATCGAACGGGAGCCGTGGAATCGCGCTCGCTGAGCCTTGCAGCCCTGCTCCCTGCTGGCCCACCGGGAAGGGTCGGGGCAACAGAGAAATGAGGGCCTGTGGAGGGACACTCGCCCCAGGCTGCGGGCGGCATTCCCCGAGCGCTGCCGAGCAGGGCCGCTTCCTCTCCCGCGCCGCCCTCGGGCGGGGCCTGTAAGGGGCTCCGGAGAACACCGGCTGCCCGGGGCCTGGGCCGGCTACGAGGGGCGGGGCTACGCGGGGCGGGGCTACGCGGGGTGGCCAGTGGGGGCGTGGCTGCGCGGGGGCTACGCGGGGGCGTGGTCACGCGAGGTGGTGCCCAGCGGGACGCGCAGAGGCGGGGCCGCGCAGCTGGGCGGGCTGGGGAGACCGGCAGCTGGCCGGGAGGCGGTGGAGCGGGCCCAGGCCCCGGGTCCCGGGGCGCCGCCGGCTCGGCGGGGCCGGGCGGGGCCGGGCGGGCCCTCCGTGGCCGGCCCACCGAGCTTCCCGGGGAAGCCAGGCGCCCACGGTCACCCCGGAAGCCGCCCCGGGGAGCCAGGGCAGGAGGTGGCAAACCTCTGGAGGGGGAGACAAGACGTCCGTCTCCGCAGGAGCCGCAGGGCGGTCGCCAGCTTCCCGCCCGGGTGGGGGGGCTCCACCCTCGGAGGTGCCCCCGCGCAGGGCCCAGAGCAGCGGCGTTGGCCAAGGGTTCTGTCCCTCACACGGCAGCATCGCTCAGGACCCTCCCCGCGCCGAGGAAGGGCGGGGTGGCTATCCCGAAGGGTGACGGGCCCGCGGAGGAGGGCGTTCTGCCGGGAGGGGGCCCTGCCGGCTTCCCGCGGAGCAGAGCCCCTGGCTGGTTGGGATCAGAGTGAGGCCTGCGCTGTGCCCCCGTTCCTGCTCATCGACCCCCGTGCCCTGCCTTTCCCATTATCCCGTTAACCCACCATCCCGTTAATGCGCACCAGCGACGCTTAGTAGCCCCCAGACTTTAGCTCCCCCGCCCCCATTTCTAGTGCTTTCCTGGGAGACATGGTCACCTGGGCTGTAGGGTGTGCGGGGCAGAGCCCAGTAGTCGTCTCCACCCTTGACCCCGCGGCCCAGGAGCTGTCCTGACCACCCCTCGTTGCCCGTGGGCCCTGCCAGCCTGCTCGCAGACAGCTCATCCGAGCGCCCCCTACCAGAGTGCCCTGCCTTTTCTGGTACGGAAAGAGGCTCCTCTGCCTGAGGGGAGCCCGGCAGGAGGGGAGCCCGGCAGGCAGGGGGACAGGCTCGTGGCAGCTGCAGGGACCACAGTCAGGCTGAGCCCAGCTCTCCCTGAACACACATCCCATCCAGTTAGCTCTGCCCACGGGATGCAGAAGGAGCGTCGGCCACCGGACCAGGGCCGCAGAGTAGGCTGGGGAGGTGCCTGGGGCTGGCAAGGGGGCAGGAGCTTCCTAATAAGACCCAGTGCTCGACTGGGCAGTGAGGGTAGATTTGCCTGGGGACGTCGAGGGGACACCCTGAGGACTTAGCCGTCCCGGTGTTTGTAGATGCTTGGGGCGCACGAGAAGCAGACTTGTGGCCGAGCAGCACCGTCACTGGAGGGGGCCCCTCCCAGCCAGCAGCAGGGCAAGTGGGCAGCGGACAGCTGGGCTGCGGCGATTTCCCAGGCGGGAGGCCACTGATGGGCAGAGCATCCTCCAAGGGTCTGAGGGTGCCTTTTCACTCTCTTGATAATGTGCTTTGATGCACTAAGTTCTGTAATTTATCTTTTTTGATTTAATTGTTTTTTTCTTTTGTGGCCTGTGCTTTGCGGTTATGTCCAAGAATCAGTGCCGAGTCCAAGGCCCTGCAGCTTCCCCTGTGCTCTGCTCTGGGGGCCTTACAGTTCCAGCCTTGGCTCTAGTCCCCCCGAAGCCCTCAGCCTCCCAGCCGCCCCAGGCAAGGGCCATCAGACTCCTTTCTTTGTTGCGATGCAGTGTCTGGGTTTGCCTGCAGCCCTGATGACAGGCACCAGAGGGCAGGGGCCCCAGGCTACCCAGCACCCTGTGCAGCAGGTCCCAGCACCAGCTCCTTTGAAGGGAAGCACACAGGGGAACTCTCATACCTACCCCAGTCTGAACCCCCCCAGCCAGGGGTGACGGCCCCCTCCTGGTCCTTGGGGCCAAGGGTGGGATGCTGAGAAGCCCCAGCAGCTGGACCGAGAGGGAAAGGGATGAGACCTCTCTCCCCAGGCGCTGTGCCCAGGGACCCACACGGGTGACCCCAAGGTGCTATCCTGGTCATGTCCCTAAATGAGAGTCTCATTGTCCCTCTCACCCAACCACCTCATTATAGGGCATCCCATGCTGCCCCATGGCCAGGCCTCAAGTGTGGGCATTGACCCGGGAGAGCCAGGGCCTGGGCACCCAGCCAGCAGGCAATAGGGCAGTCGGCCTTGGCACCAGCTAGCAGTCTGGGCAGGGCCCCAGCCAGTGCCCAGCACAGGGCTGTATTTTGGTACAATAGCAGAATGCATGGCCTACTTCCCGTCCAGCACCTGCAGGGGACACGCCCCACAGAGGCCATGAACCTGGGTCAGCTGGGCCATGGCCACTGGCAGAGCCACCGCTCTCCTGAGAAATCGCCCACTCTGAGTACTGTCAGTCAACCAAAAGAGATGTCTGTTGGGTGGGGGCAGCTGGTTCTGCAGGGGAGGTGGGTCCCTGGGGGCACAGGGTCGTGAGGAGCACAGACAAAGAGAAGGCCAGTCAGACCCCAGAGCTGACTGGGGTGGGACCAGCAGGCTGGGACAGTGGCACCCCCTTCCTTTCGGCCTCCCACTGTCTTCCTCCAAGTTGCCCTGCACGTGCCCCGTCTTTGGAGGACACATCAGGGCCACGAGCTCCATCCAGACCGACACGGCACCCACCCCTGACTCCTGCCTGTTGGGTGAGGACAGGAGAGGCCGACCAGGGCGGGAGTGACGCGGCCTCCGGGCAGGAAGGCAGGGCTTTCACGCTAGCCTCGAGGTCTCACCCCCTCTTGGGGAGGGCCTGGGTCGGGGTGGCCTATTCTGGTGCCCCTGGAGCCAGTGGGGTACAGAAAGAGGTGAGGCCAGCTGGGCTCTGCCTCACCTCCCCTTGTGTCCCCATGTCCACACGTGTGCCTGCACAGCCAGGGCTGTGGACTGCCCCAGAGAAGCTGGAAGCCTGGAGTCTAGGTGACCTGTGGCCGAGTGAGACCCAGAGGGGCTCCCCTCTTCCAGGACAGCGTAGTGACAGACCTGGCCGTGGCCCATCTGCGAGGGGCTTCCTCTGAGCACAGAGAAGGCCCGGCGGCCACACGCTGGCAGGCGGTGGTGGGCGAGGCCCCAGCATGGTCCTTGCTGCCTGGTGACACAGAGCATTCTTCCCAGGCTCAGGGGGAAGGCTCAGGGTCCAGGGCACCGGTGGGCAGAGAGCGAGTCCAGCCAGTTAGGACGTGGGTCAGGACCTGCCATGGCTTCCCTGAGCCCCACCCTGCCCACCAGCCCATACCACAGGGGTGCCCCCCTCATGGTGAGGACCTCTATCACATTCCAGAACATTCCCTGGGGGCACTCCTAGTCCATCAGAGCCCAGGCCCTGGAGCCATGAGTGTGGATGCTGAGCAGAGAGGCCTGGGGTGGTATGCCCAGGGCCAGCGTGACCCTGGAGGGGCCTGACCAGCTGGGGCCAGAGGAGGCACCTGGAGGAGAGGGTGCAGGAGGGCTGGTGCCCGCGGCAGGAGCTGGCCTTCTCTGCACGGCCACAGGGTCTAAGGGGGAGGGAGAACAGGCTGAGCTGGATGTGGGGCGGGGGAGGAATGGCAGGAAGGAGCAGGATGACCCCACCCACCAGGGGACACCAGCTGTCCCGGTTTCCAGTTTATTGGAGCCCTCTTTCAATGCAAGTGACCTTCCCAGAGGGTCACACAGGCCTCTGCAGCCACCCCACCCCTACTCACTTCCCAAACACTCCACACTGACCCCCCGCCAGGCAGGCGCTCTCGCCGAGGGCGGGGCCACACCTTCTAAGCCCACCTCACTGGGCCACATGGGCCAGCCCCTGGGCAGCAGAAAATGCTGGCCCTTCCCCTGGGTACAGCTGCCTAACAGCCCCGCAAGCCCCTCTGGTCAGGACTCCAGAGGGTGCCCAGGCCACAGCATGCTCCCCTGGACCTCTGCTTTGCACATTCAGGAACTGGAAGTAATTGCTAGTCTAGAGGGGTCAGGGTTGGAGAGCTGCCTAGCCCCTCACTCCCCAGAAACCACCCTCTGAACCCCGCACCAGCCCTGGACGCCCAGTGGGGCCACGTCTGGCCCAAGAGTGGCCTGTCCCTGCATGGAGCACCCTGGTGGCTGTCCTCTGGGGCTGGGGCATGGGCCCCCTGCAGGTGCCCGAGAACACAATGCAGGCCTTCCTCAGGGAGTGGTCCTTTGAGGGCAGGCAGCCCCCTTCATGGGCGTCAGTCCTGAGGAAGCATCCTGGACCCCTCAGGCATCCCCTCCTGACCCCAAACCCCCACCTCACCAGGCAGCACTGGGAACGGATCTGTCACCCACTGAGTGCCACCCTCACCGCCTGGACCCTTCTGGTCTTGCGGACCCAGCAGGTCTCCTCTCACTCGGCAGGGCTGCCTCACAGGAACCTTGTGGGTCTCAGGACACCCTCACACCCAGGGACCCCCACCTCTCATTAGAGGGGCAGCCACTCCTGGCTGCAGGGCCCATTTCCAGCAGACACCCTTCCCAAGAGGGCACTCTGTTGTCATGAGCCCAGCTGGGAGAGGCCCGACTTGGAGAGAGCCGTGACGGGAGGGGGCTAGTGTGACTGAGCCCCCGGGAGGTGCAGGCTGGGAGGGACAGAGCTCTGTGTCTGAGGGGACACGGCCCCCTCACTTTACCCATCAGGACTGGGTGCTCCTAGCCCCAAGGGTGACCGGAGCGTCCCTGTGTCCCCTCCCCTCTGTGGCCCTCGGAGGCCCAGGTGTGGAGAAATGACTTCACAGGCACTTAGGAGACGCACACCATGCGGGACTCCAGGGTAAATGAGACCCCAGAAGGTGCGTCTTTGGGCAAGGTCAGGAGGACAGGCCTCTGATAGTGGGGCAGGTGGCTGCCCTCAGGCCTGAGCCCACCCAGCTATCAGCCGCTGCACTGCTGAGCTCTAAGTTCTCTTCCAAAGGTCAGAAAAGAATCCGCAGTGTGTGACTCCGCATTGGGAGGAGCTGTGGTCTGCAGGCCCTGTCCCTGGTGTGTGACTGCCAAGCACACAACTCTGGCTGGGGCCCCACGGTGAAGGTGCCTGGGGCAGGGTCAGCCCTCCGTGCGTGTGGTCGCTCAAGTCACGGCTAGGCCCAGGGCTGCTCCGCCTCTCCAGGAAACGGCTTCCAGAAAACAGCGTTCTTAGTCCCCATGGCAACCGGGCCTGCACTCCTGTTTCCAGGGAAACCCAGCCCTCCGCGTCTCAGTTGCCAGAGCAACACCTATGGGCTCTCTTGGCGGTGTGGTCCCGCCAAGCCAGAGCGGGCAGCTGGGCACCCAGGCCAGGGAGTCAGTGCTGCACAGGTGTGGGGCCAGGGCACTGAAGCAGGAGGCCCAGCCAAGCACCCGCCTCCACGGCTTTCTTCTGGGTTCCGTGCTCCGTCCCGCCTGCGATGAGTGCTTCCTCCAGCGAGCCTGGCGAGGGGGACACAGCAGAGCGGTCCCAGCTGGGTCTGGACACCGTGATCCAGGTCAGTGGGGTGACTGTCCTCCAGCACCCTCCCGGGAGCAGGCTCCAGGGGCACCTGGGGGGGGTGGACAGGGACCCTGCACGGAGAGGCCACACCTCCCTGACTGCAAGGGGACCTGTCCATGTGCTCACGTGGTCAGCATGGGCATGCACACACAATGCAGACTCACGTGACTCGGCAGAGGAGCCTGGGGAGAGACTGAATGGAGATCCCCGGGTCCCAGGCCCAACCCCCATCCACACTGTGTGAATACATACGTCAGACCCCTCCCTGAGCCCCAGGCTTGCAGTCAGACACCCTCCCACACTGACAGGCTGGCTTCAGTGCACCGCGGCCCTGGGGGCAATGTGTGGGAGCTGGCGGGGCTTCCCTGTATCTCGGCCACTGTTGGTGGTGTGGTCCATCCCCAGCATTGCTTCTGAGCATTCCAGAGGTGCTGGGTCTGCGTTTCCTTGAAGCACCAGCTAACAAAGTCAGAAACACCAGCAATGACAGGCCCAGGAATCATCTCCATGCCCTCTCCCTTCCACTCCCTGCTTCCCAGAGCCTACCACTGCCAGGCCTGCCAGACCACCCCCCTAGGCACCCCCCACTGCCATCACCTGACTCCGGCCATCAACGGCCAGAGGGTCCTCACCCTGACTGACCCCTTGGGGATTTCAGTGAACCCCTGATGCCCCTGCTGACTCAGAGTTGTTTATTAACCCAGTTCTCAGAACCTTGAAACTCCACTGTAGGGTGTTGACACAGCCCTATATAAACAGTACAGGTCACAGAGAAGAGTGGCCACCCACAGTTGGTGCCAGGTGATTAAATAACATGTGGCGTCACCACACACGTGCACGTACACATGGGACAGAGCATGCCAAGGGCAGGATGTTCGAGTTGGGTGACACGAGCCCAACAAGGTGGCCCTGGTGGGTGGCTCTCTGTCCAGCTCCCGGGGGTCTCAGCATTCGGCAGGTCTGGGAGCGAGGCTGACTGACAGCAGGTGGGGGAGGGAGGGCTGGCACAGTACAGCTTCTGAGAAGCTCTGGGCCCAGGATCCCATTTGGTGCCCCTGTTGCTGGTGAGGACTCTATCACTGTCTTTGGATTCTGGGGAAAGAGGCCACAGAGTGAAGCGAGTTGCTATGGTTATGTGCGGGTTTGAGAGAGAATCACAGAAGAGTGAGGGCGTCCAGCAGCGGGCAGTGGTACTTGGCAAGCGTGGCTGCCCTGAAATTCCCGCTGCCCGTGGGAAACTCATCAGGAAGTTCCACAGATCCCTGCCGGGCCCTGTGCTGCCTGCCCAGCCAGCACTTGCTATTTGCCCTGTGGTAATTGACATCTTGGCGTAGTTACACAGAGTAGGGCAGGGGACGGGGGGCAGGCGGGCGCCAGAGATCCCAGAGAGGCCTGTCCAAACAGCGGCCCGGGTGGGAGGGCGAATGAGTGGATCTGTGGTGCTGGGCTCAGTCCTTCTAGTAGCCGTGGGACTTCTCAGACTATTTCTTTTGGGTTAGGTTTCAATTAACTGTATTTTTCTAGGAATGGGTCCATTATATCTAAACTGTCACGTTTACTGGCAAAAGTTGTTCTCAGTATCTCTCCATCTTTGTGATGTCTGAGGGTCTGAAGCAAGGTAGCCATGGTCTGAGCCCAGGAGCTGCCCAGGACCCAGGACTTCCAGGGAGCAACCCGAGGAGGCCGGGTGGGCTGGAGTGGGGCGGCCGCCCAAGCCCCCGGGACGCGCCCTTTCCTGCTCTGGTGCCGCTCACTCGCCCCCCGTGCCCCCCGCATGCTCCGTCCCTGTTCCATTGATCCCCATCCTTATCATTTACTTGCTCTTCAGCTCTCTGGCTTGTCATTCATCTGATTTGGGGGTGTGCTCAGCTCTGATTTATAACCTTCACTTAAAAAATGTTTAAACCTTAAAAAACATTGTGGTAAAAAACGTATATGATCAGATCAGATGCCATCTGATCTGTAAAAAATGCATAAAATTTACCATTTTTACCATTCTTAAGCATATAGCTCAGTAGCATTAAGCACTCACATTGTGCAGCCAACCCTACCATCGGCCCCGGAGCCCCTCCACTGTCCCAAACAGAGGCTCTGTGCCCACTAAGCACTGACCCCCAGCCCTGCCCCCATCGTCTACTCCCTGCCATCGTGATTCTGTCAGAAGTGGGGTCACACAGTATTTGTCCTTCTGTGTCTGCCCCACTGCACTGCGCACAATGTCCCCTAGGGCCACCCACGTTGTGGCCTGTCTCAGGGCCTCATTCCTTTCTAAGGCTGACCCACATTCCCCTGTGTGGCTGGGCCATGTTGTGTTTGCCCACTCACCTGTCCACGGACACTTGGGTTGTTTCCACTCGGGCTACTGTGAGCAGAGCTGGTGTGAATATGGGTGTGCAAGTATCTGTTTAAGTCCCCGCTTTCACTTCTGTTAGGTTCACACCTGGAAGTGGGGTTGCCGTGTCACAGGGCAATTCCCCACCCCCTGTAGGAACTGCCATACTGTTTTCCATAGTGGCTGTACCATTATACATTCCCACTTTCTTCTTCTAATATGTATTTTTCTTTCTAAGCAAGGCTTTAGTACCATCCCACAGATTTTGATGTAATAATGTTCATTATTATCGGGTTCAAATTGTTTTCTAATTTCCATTGTGATTTCTCATTTTACCCATGGATTAGCTACAGATATAAATACCTTAATTTCTAAACATAAGAGATTCTCAAAGTTTGTTTATATCCAACTTGGCTATTCTGTGCGCAGAGGTTTTGTTTTGAACATCTTAGAGTGGAGAAGCCTGCTGGCATCCAAGCAGAGATGGCAGGGAGGCAGATGGACCTGTGGGTCTGGTCTCAGATAAGCGCCATGCTGGCAGCAGACATCCAAGTTGCTGGCATGTGGTGCATGCCCACAGAGAAGGAGCTAGGGCAACCCCACTCTTAGAGATGCAGGAGGCAGGAAGGAACCGGCCAAGGGGACCACACCGGGGTGGCCAGGGGGTTACGGTCAGCTGGGGGAGCACCATGGCTGGACTCCCTGAGGAGGTGCTGGGTGGAGGCACTGGTCCAGAGGCTGCTGGGAGACCCAGTGAGATGGAGATTCTAGATCCATAAGCGTGGACCGCAAGGGCCCCTTAGAGGTGTGCAGTGGCCACCCTTCCTTCTAAGGTGTGGGTGAATTAAAGCAGTCTGTGTCAGCCAGAACGGCCTGGCAGAGGGGCAAATGACCCGTGTGGAGAGAGGGGAGGACTGCTCTGAGAGTGAGCGATGGTGGTGGATGGGCAAGGGAGGAGGGGGCAGGGTGGGTGCGCAGCACTGGGTCAGACATTTTCTGGAAGCTATCAGGTAGCTACAGACAGTGTGTAAACATGGGTGTGGCGATATTCCAGTCAACTCTGTTCACAGGCAACTGGCAGGCCAGTTCCATCACGCAGCCTCACACAGCTGGGAAACCCGTGGGCGCCCGCCTCCCCAGCCCACCACCCCCAGCTACTCTCTCTGCCATGCTGTCCATCCAGCTCTCTGCTTTCAGAATCTTCTAGATTCGGCCCTAAAACAGAAGCTTCATAATTTGCTCTTCCAGCTGCCACAGAGCGCAGCTCACTGCACCCTCACAGACGCCTCCAGAAGGGCACATTCTGAGTCTCTGGATTTCAACCTGTTGGAGAGTCTCTCCACCCCGGGCTTTGATGGGCCCTGGCAATTCCCCAGGAGGTGGGAAATCTTTCTTGTGGTGGGACTTCTGTCCCCAAAGAGAGAAAATGCAGCTCCAAGGAGGGATGCTGGGGGGTTGGGGGTGGGGGAGGGAGGGGAGGGGAGGGTGGGAAGTGCTGTCAGGAGGTTCATGAGAGGGGCCGGGCATGGTGGCGGGGTGAGCGGAGGGACGGCAGTGTGGCATCCCGGTTCTGGTGCCTGCTCCGCCACTGTCTCTGCTTCAGGGCCCCTATCTATAAAGTGGGGTGAAACAGATGGCCTCTGGGGCTCCCTAGAGCCTGAGTAGAGGGCCCTCCTGTGGGACAGATGCTGGGATGGTCACATGCCAAGGGCCAGGCCTGCGAACCGGGCGCAGAGGAAGAAGCGCCTGCCTATCTCGTCATCCCCCTCCTGCTCCCCCTGGAGCAGCCAGGCTCAGGCGGCATCCGATCTGATTGCCCAGATGCGCCATCAGTGGGCAACACCCACCTCCCCATCCAGAAGCACTGCTCCCAGCCCCATGATCTGAGGGTCTCCCTCAAAGGGGCCGTCACAGTTTGCTCTCCTGTCTCCCGCTGACCCCCATCCCCACACCCTACTCTCCCGGGCCCCACGCAGACTGTGAGAACCCACCCTCTGCCTTTGTTTCCACTGTCCCCTCCTCCTGGACACCTGACCTGTGCCCCCTTGGCTGCTGGACTTTTACTTATCCTTCAAGGTTCAACTCACCTGCCACCTCCTCCAGGAAGCCTGTGTGGGTACTGGGGACACAAGAATAAGTAAGATCAACAGGATCCTTGCCCTTCTGGGTATTCCTTTATATGAATCGTTTTGCTGTTAGTGATTCATACCTTAGGTTAGGTTTCCAGATATTTGTGTAGTGACCTGTGTCTGAGACCACTTCTGTGCCAAGCATCAATCATGCTGGGAGCTGGAAGTGGGCACACAGGGGTGAATGAGAAGCTATCCCCCTCATCTGCAGTGGCTGGTTCAATGCCTGGCCCAGATCTCCCTTTTATTGGGGACCAAACTGGCACCCAGAGAGGTATGGCCTTGCTCTGGGGCCCCAGAAGGACCCACATTTGAACAGGCGTCTGAACCGAGCAGTGCTGAGACACGGCACGTGGAGAGCCAGGTGTACCCCAGACCACAGAAGCTCTTTTTCCTGAGGAAATGGGACCTGGAGGGCAGCCACCCTGGCGCGGGTCTTCTCTGCAGCAGGCCAAGCCGTGGAAGGACGGCAAGCTGATGTCTGGTGGCTGGACTTGGCTGGAGGCCCTGCCCTCCGCTGTGCTCGACCTGGGCCTCCCGCTGGTGAGGGCCAAACCCTGCACCTGCAGAGGCAGGGAGGCCTGGAAGTGCGGGTGCGGAACGTCTGGGAGTGAGTGGGCGGCAGAGGTGGGCAAGGAAAGCTGCGGTGGGTGCGGGCCCCAGGCTGCAGCGAGCTCTCGTCTGCCTGGGCTCAGGGAGTTGCCACGAGGTGGGCGGGGCTGAGGCAGGCTGAATCCCGATCCCCGGCCACTGGGAAGGTGCGGGGACTCCCCGGTGGGGTCCTAGTCCTAATGCGCTGAAGGTGGGCAGATGAACTTGAGCGAGTTCGCCACTTCCTCATCTGCACTGTGGAGGCGACGAGCTGCCCTTTCAGGTCAAAATAATGGCTAAGAACCCCTGGGAGGTGAGCGCCCGCCTCTCCCAGGCGAAGCGGGAGCCCTGCATCCTTCCGTCCCCTTGGAGCCTGCGGCAGCCGGCGCCGTCCCAGCCGGGCCCTGCAGCGCCCTCGGCAGCCACACGGGGACACTGTGGGAGCTCCGCGCGGCCGGGCCCCGCGGCCGGCAGGTCCCCGCAGGCCGCCCGCAGAGGGGCCCAGGACGCGGGCCGTCCCTTCCTGTGCCCCGGCAGCCTGGAGATTCAGGAGCCACCCAGGGACCCAGGGGGTTCTGATGCTGGTCAGCCAGGCGAAGGAGTGACCTTGCCCTCCACCTACGACCCCACCCCCTCCAGAGCCTCCGCCTGTCCTCATCTGTGACCCCGGAGGGGTGGTCCCAGAGATCCCACCCTCCTCGGCGCTGCAGAGTCACTGGGACCCGAGGCACCTGCGTTGACACAACCAGGGTTGCGCAAGGCACTGGCGGTGACGCAGCCGGGACCCCAGCCCAGTTCTCCGGAAGGGGAGTCTTGCTCTGATCCCGGGTGGGGGAGATGGGGTCACGTTCCCTCTGGGTGGCCGCTCACCCCCCTCCGCGCAGCACCGGCAGGGCCGGGATCCGCTTCTACCGGCCGCGCCGCGCCACGAGGGGCTCGGACCGCGGGTAGCGCTAAGGAGGCGCTGGGGCAGGAGCAAGGGACACGGCGGGGCTCACTGTGGGTCTGAGCCCTTTGGGAAACTGATGCCCAGCCCTGGTGTCCCTCCAACGAGCTCAGGTCCCCAGGGGTCCTTCTAGGAGTGTCCCGACACTGCCGGGCACAGGCGGGCCCGCCAGGAAGGTGCCCCCGGCCCCCCGGCGGAGGAGGCGACCCTCCCAGACCTGCAGGCAGGTGGCGGGGCGGAGCCCAGGGTGCCCGCAGGAACGCGTCGGGACCGGGTGGTGGAGCCCCTCGGGACCAGCCTCTGCCGTCCTGGGAGACCCCGCGAGCGGCGCGGCCCAGGCGGCAGGTCGGCGCGGACGGACGAGGCGGCCAGGTGGACGGAGCCCCTCCTCACTTCTCTTCTGGCCCCTCCCCACCATCCCCCAGGCCCCTCCGGTCCTGGTCGGCCCTCCCCGCCCCTCCCCTCCCTCCCCTCCGGGCCTGCCGCCCGCCCCCACTGTCCCCCTCCCCTCCCCTCCCCCTCTCCCCTCCCTCCGTGTCCTGATTCCCTCCCCGTTTTCTCATGGGGAAGAAGTAATTTAGGATTTGGACACATTCCTTAAAATCCTTCCTGGAAAAATATGTGCTTTTCTAGAGGGAAGGAATCAGTTTGCAGCATATTCACAGGCTTATTGAATTGGTGGAGGAGTTGAGAAAAGATCCCATGTAAACATACAAAAATGTTTAAACTTAAAAAATTAATTCTTTCTTCAGAGCATTTATAATGAAAATATTTCCTTTTCTGAGAGTAGTAGCAAAACAGTAGTAGTCTGTCAACATCTTAGGATTTCTGGATTCCCTAAATAGAGTATTTTCTCTAAACCGTTTTGTTCAAAATTTTTTTAGTAGAGGTTAGAAATGTACAGCTCTGTAAGGGGCAGAACACTTTTGTATTTCAAAAGATGGGATCCTCACATGTACTTGTCTTAATGTTAAAACTGACTTACTCAGGGAAAGTATAAAGGGCCAGCTTTCTCTGTTTTCTCCTGTCAGTTTAATCCTCNGGGGGGGCGCGGGTGGGCGGGGGCAGCGCCCTTCCAGGCTCCTGGAGCTGATGCCCCCGCCGCAGGCCGGGGGGGTGGGCGCCACCCCGCCGGGTCTCAGTCTCCCCACGTGCAAATAAGGGGTTCAGGGCAGGCAACAGCTGGGCCCCTTCCACTCGCCTGTCCTCGCAGGGCAGGAAAGGTTGGGAGTCTTGGCCCAGAAGGGGCGGCAGGCACGCCCTCCAAGGGGGGCTGCACACCCCACCCAGGGTAACTCGGAAGGGGCTCATCTGGCAAAGGGAAGGTGCCTCCCCTGGACCTCCGAGGGGACCCAAACTCAGATCCCCCCCAGTGAAAAGGAAGGTTCCAGCCCGAAGGAGGGCTTGGTTCCAGGGGCAGCAGACCCAGAATCCTCACCCCTAGGGAGGGAGGCGAGCTTCAGTGGGTGGCATGTGCTCAGAGGCTGCCCGTGGCCGGGCTGCTGCTGGGGGTCCGGCCTGGGCCTCACCAGGTACTATGCGGGAGCCCAGGTCTTGAAGGGACTCTCACAAGTCTGGTCCTGACAGAGAAGGAAGCCTGTGTCCAGGGAGCATTCGAGATGGACATGGGCGAGGCCAGCCTGGGGTCCTAGGAGGAGGGGGTGGGCCGGGCCCAGGGCCACACTGCAGAGCCTGGCCTGGGAGTCAGGGCAGGTAGAGGGGCACAGGCACGGAGAGGGCCATCAGCGAGAGCTGGAAGCAGGGAGGGGGAGCAGAGACAGGAGGTTGCTCAGCCTCCACTCACAGACCCCGTAGGGGAGGGAGATTGGGGGTCACAGCCGGGGAGTCCGCTGTGCCTCTGAGGGAATCCAGGGAGAGGGGTCCTGGGATGCTGGAGGAGGGAGGATCTGGGCTCATGGTCTGAGAAGTCCGGGCCTCTCTGGGGATGATTGGAGGACCCTGTTTGGTGCCGTGGGGGAGTCCCTGGGAGTGGAATCCACCTGCAGGACCCGCAGGAGCGTCTGGTCACTCTTTAACATTCAATTCACTGCCTTAAAACCCGACGTCCTTCATGCGGCAGGGCAGGCGGGCAGCTGTAGACTGCCTGACTCCGGCTGGTCTCCTCTCACCGTGCCCTCCCACGTCCAGGGGGCTCATGCTGGTTTGGATTGAGCCACCCCAGCATTCACAGGCCCCTGAACATCCTCTACACTGTCAGCGCCTCTGTTAGACCTGTCGGGGAGGCCTTGCCCAGGCCCGGCCTCCAGAGGGCACCTCCAGGCCTTCCCCACCGGGGGGCCCCCTCACTGAGCAAAGAATCCCCTGGACCAAGGCCAGGTGCCAGCTCCCAACCCAAGACCAGTCTCTGGGTATCCAGGACCAGGAACTTCCCACCCGCTTCCAGGCCTATTCGGACCACTTCCACGGCAGGTGCTCCACCCGCTAGGAAGGGGGGCCCCCTTGCTGTGTCCCCACCCCACCCCTCAGTTCCTGGTGACCTCAGCTAGGTGTTCTCCAGGCAACCCTTCTCCCACTTCCTCCGTATGTGCCATCCCACATTACAGGTGGGGAAACCGAGGCACATGCCCAGGCCTCTGCAGGCCACTGTGCTGCCAGGGGGCACCTCATGTCAATCCCACTAACTCTAGTGGTCTCCGGTGGGGGTGCCTGGAAGCTGTCTGGGAAGCTGCCAGGCTCTGGTGGGTGTTTTTCAGAGGCTGGAAGACACGGTCCTGAGCCCCACAGCCAGCAGAGAAGACCGGGCGCTGACCGTGCGTGGGGAAGGCTGGCGGGCCACACCCACCCCTGTCCCTGCCCGCATCCGTGAGATCGTGGCTGGCAGCCTGGGCGAGGAGCCACCCCAAGGTGAAGGGAGGTGGGGGGCGGGGGCGGCTGGGGTGCCGTCACCTGGATCCAGCCACAGAGAGGCAGGTGCCCCTCCGCTGTCCCCTAGCCGGCTGTCTCCTCCTGGCCCCTCATGCCAGCACGGCAGGTGGCAAAGCCACAGCCTCTTGCTGAATCCTGGGGCTGCTCCCTGTGCTGTGCGCTCCACTGGGCCACCTGGGCCATCCATGCCAGCGCAGCATTTGAGTCTGGGACACATTTGTGACCACATCTTGACCTCATCCATATTTGTTTCTCGGGAGATGAGTGCCCACCCTAAAGGCTGACGCTCGGGAAGCCCAACGTGGGGCACCCACTCCCAGGCTCTGCTCTCCCAGCCCTGCAGCCCCCTGACTGGCTCCCAGGCTGGGTCCCCTCACCGGTCGGGCAGCCTGCCCCAGAGACCCCTAAAGGAGGGCGTAGCTCACTAAATATGTGTATTAAAGAAAAAGAAACCCCACTGTGTGGTTAGAAAAGCAACTTCTTACTGTGAATGTGATCCAGTTCCCTGAATCATCAGTTCTCATTGCTTCATGGAGAGTGTGGGACCCCAGGCTGGCCCCACACCCTGAGCCCCGGTTGGCTCAGGCTCACCCTGCGTGTGCGTCTGTATTGAGTTAAAGATGCTGATGAAAGATGGGGAGTCTGTATGGGAAAGATGGGAGAATGCCCCCTGACAGGACAGGAAGTGAGCCCCAAACAGGAGGTCTCAGGGGTCGCAGCTGGGACTCATCGGGGAGATTGGGGCAGACCAGCAGGGGAGCCCAGCAACTAGCCCACAGTCCTGCCTTGGGGACAGGGTGCTGTGGTGGGGGGCCACACAGGCTGAACCCAGTGCTGCACCCGCAGGGCCGCAGGAACTGCCGGCCACCTCGGCCCACGTGCAGGAGAATGAGCTACTGCAGGAGGAGCTCTCCCGGCTGGAGGACCTGCTGGCCCAGGCGGGCGCTGAGAGGGATGAGCTGGCCAGCAGGTACCATGCAGTCAGCGAGCGGGTAAGTGTGTGTGAAGTGGCACATGGCAGGCCAGAGGGCGGTGGCCCAGGCCCGGGGTGAGGCACCATCTGTTAGGACTGGCCGCCAGACCAGCGCACTGTCAGCAAGCCTCAGGCTGTACAGTGAGTGCATCAGCCCAGCACATCCAAAACCCTGGGCAGCAGAAGGAGAAACTAAGGCTAGAGGGGGCGGGTGCAAGCGGGGCGGGTGACCAGGCCTCCAGCCCCCCAAGCCCCACCAGGTCTGCAGCCCATCTCAGGCACTGACTTTCCCTGCCTGCCGGGAGCCCAAGGAGGTGGCCCACTCCATCCTGCCCCCGAGGCCCCAGGCTGTGCCCACAGTGCCAGCGCACGGTCAGCACCTGCCGTGGGAGGGGGATGCGGCCCCAAACCTCAGGCAGGGCTTGTAGAGCCCTGGCCCTGCTCCCAGCCTCCCACACATCCCGACGGCCACACTCCGGGGACAGCTGAGCCCCTCAGCCCCCGGCAGCTGCCTTCTAGGGTAACTGGCGAGCTGCAGCAGGAGGCCGTTTGTTCATAAAGTGTGGGGCTGGGAAGGACCCCCCATTGTGGGGGTGGAGAAACTGAGGCAGGTGAAAAAAAACCTGGCTCTTCCTGATTCTGCTACCCTGAGCCAGGGCTGGCCTGGTGCCCGGCCACAGTGGGGACCTCTGAGGCCATGCTGTCCTCAGAGCCTCCCTCACCCTGTTGGCAGGACAGACGACCCCACTTTCCAGCAGAGGAGCCCGAGGCTCCAGGCGGTCCTTGCTGTCAGGACCCTGCTGCCATTATTGGGGCTGAGACCTGAAAAGGTCTGGCCTTTTCTCTGGTGTGACCCAGGACCCGTGCTAAGTGCCCAAGGCCAGCGCTGGCCTCGTGTTCGTTGGGGTCCTCAGGGCTTCTCGGGATAGGCAGCATCACCCTGCAGAGGTGCACTCTGCCTAGACCCCCCAAACTGCAAACACCCACTCTCACTGCTGCCCCCACGCCTGATGGGCCCCTCGAATGGGGGATGGGAGCGTGGCAGGGAGCTGGCCTGCTCCTGGGGCTGTCTGTAGCCTCTGCTGGCCCTGGGGGTGGGGGATCTTCCTAGCACAGGGTGGGGAAATGTTGGGAATGGGCCGGTGGGAATAGAAGCCACAGAACTCCTGCTGGCGGGTTACTAATCCTGTGAGTCAGACCTGAACTGTCAGCCTGCAGCTCAACGCACGTGCCAGGCCCCCACGGCCGTTTCAGCTCCCCTGTGCCAGGGCTGGGAGGGGCCAGGCCTCCCCTTAGCCCAGACAGGGCAAGGCGGGGGCCACGGGGGCCAGTGTGACTGTGTCCCAGTCACCCGCATCTGGGCTGCATTCCCACCTCCGCCTCAGCCTCCCCATCCTGCAGGTGGCTGTGGAGGGGCCAGTCTCTTCCTTGTGTGCCAGACTGTGCTCTGGGTCAGCACATCAGGGCGGGCCCCCCAGCCCCTCCTGTCACCCTCCGAGCCCAGGGCCCGTCTGCTCGGGCTCTAGCAGGGAGAGGTGGCGGCAGGCCTGCCTGCCCAGCCTGGACCCCTCCCAGCCAGGCCCCCCTGGAGGCTGAAACCCACTCAGGGTGGGCGTGGTCCTGCCCACCTGCTGGGAGCAGACAGAGGTGTATGTGCCCAGACAGGAGGGGCAGCTGGGGGAGCCCCCCATTCACATCTTCTTGTGGGAGTGACCCCTGACCTGCTCTGCATCTTGACTGTCCTGCCCTTTACGTGGCCAAACCAGGGCCTGGGGGCCCCTTCTCTGCTGTTCACGGGCACTTGGCACAGAGGTGGGGTGTGGATGCCCACCGTGTGACCCATCGTGTGGAGGTGCCTGAGCTTCACCAGGCCCAGCCCAGAGCCCAGCCCAGCCTGACCCTGTGCCTGTTGGGACCCCGGGGGAGTCCTCTCTCCTAGCCAGAGGGCTTAGTGCTTGAGCCACCCTGCCCAGGGGGCCTGAGTGGCCTGCGGGTGGGCCGACGCTCCCCTCCAGCTGCAGGCCCGCCTGGAGACCACTGAGGCTCGGCTGCGGAGGTCGGAGCTGGAGCGCAGCGCGGACCTGGAGGAGGCCCTGAGCCGTCTGGAAGCTGCTGAGCAGAGGTGAGGCCAGGCAGGCGGGGCAGTCAGGGCTGCAGGGAGCCCAGCATCGCCCTGGCAGGCAGCGAACCCCGCTGTGCCTTGGGGCTCTAGGCCAGCCTCTTTCCAAAGTGACTGGAAGTCAAATCTGCCTGTGGGAGTCCCTGGCCAGGGCCTTCGGGGTAGGGGAAGGGGGCAGAGCAGGATGGGGAGGGGACCAACCCGCTGTGGCCTCGGCCTCAGGTTGGCACTGCTGAGGCCGGTCCTCTGGCCTGACCGTGGCCCTCAGCCGACGCAGTCAGTCCGGGAGTCCTCACGGGCACTGCCCCAGGCCCCACTCCTCCTCACGCTCGGGCTGCTCCCAGTTGCCCTGATATGTTCAGAGGCTCACTCGTTCACCATCGGCAAGTGTGCCACAGCCCCAGCCTGTGGGGAGGCCCCAGGGCGCCGTCCCTGGAAGTGAGGGCGTCTCTCCACTTTGTCGGGAGGGCAGCCGAGCCCCCAAGTCCGGCTCCACAGCCAGGCCTGTGGGAGGTGAAGCCATTTGTAGTCGCCTCCTCTTAGGGGGCTCTGGGGAAGGAGGAAAAGTGCATTTTGGAAACCAGTTTTGGGGGGTGGGTAACCCTAGTGGAGGCTGACATGGGAGAAGGGAGTGTCCTACCTGTGGCCTCCCAGCCTGGCTGGGAGGCACTGAACTTCGGAGGGTCGGTTCACCCATCAGGTGGATTTGGGTCCCTGAGTGCAGCCACAGGGGCCCCTCCAGAGGCCCGCCTGACTCCTCCTCCTCACCTCCTGCCGGGCTGCAGGGACGGCGCCTCCCTCCCAGCCCTGCCACCTCGCCCCCGTGCTCCCAGGCCTGGCCCTCTCGCCTGTCCCCAGGCCCTCCACACCCAGGGTTAGGATGGAGGGAGGGGAGCGTGCAGCATGGCTCCCGGATGCTGGCCCCGTCTGGGAGGCTGCTGGGGCCCATTGCTGGTGGTCAGGGCTGCCTGGGGCCGTTGAGGGGCTGCTGCACACCCGAGCTGGGGCCTGCTGGTCCAGGAGCTCGGGGCCTGGGTCTCCGAACGCCTTTCCAAGGAGAGGCCCCCGCCCACGGCCGCAACGTGGTTTCCGTCCGCCCAGGAGCACGGGCCTCTCCCAGGTGAACACCCTCCTCCGGGGGCAGCTGGAGCACATGAAGAGGGCCAACGACAGGCTGGCTGAGGAGCTTGCCAGGACGACTGGCCGCGTGCTCCGTCTACGGGGCCAGCTGGAGCTGAGGGAGGCACAGCGCCGGACCAAGAGAGAGGTGCCCCTGGCCTTGATGCTTTGGTGGGGTGTCCTGTCAGTGCCTGTGGCTGGCGGCGGTGTGTGGGCAGCAGGGGCCAGGAGAGGGTGAGCCGGCTTCAGCTCACCTGGTTGCGGTTTCCTGACGAGGGGTTAGGGCAGCGTGCCTGTGGCCTCAGCCTCAGGGTTGGGGAGAGCTGTGTTCACCAGCACAGGGAGTCCCTAGTGGCCTGGCTCTGGGCATGGGGCCTGGGAAAAGCTGGGGAGAGCTCTCAGCCCAGGCCCCCGCCTGTCCACATCACCCGCCGCTGGGCTCCCGGGGCCGCTTCTCGGGCTCAGCTTGGTGTTGGCTGCCACGGGCTTCATTTCCCCCTGTCCTGGTCAGCAATGTTCATAGGCGGCGGCACCGTGAAGTGTCCTTTCCCTGGCCTCTGGCCTCCGTCCTTGCTGCCGAGAAGTCAGCACCCAGTCCCTCTGGTGTGGACTGACCCCTCGCAGAGGTAACCTGCCTCTCAGCCTGGCTGCTCGGAGATCTTGCCGTGGCTGCGGTGTTCTGCGTTGTGCTGTGCTGCGACTGCATGCTGAGTGTGTGCTGTTTATCCCGTTCAGAACTCATCAGGACTCTGTGCCCTTCAGTATAGTCGGAAAGTAGCCGTGACCTCTGTAAACGCTGCCCGAGCGCGTGCTGTCCCCTCCCCAGCTCCGTGCACGTAGCTCTCCTCACGCTTCTCAGTCGCCCATATTTTCTTCCTTTTTATCACTCTGGTCTATATTAAGATTTTTTCAAACCTACCTTCCTGGTCATCAATTTCTCTTCTGCAGAAATCTCTGTTAAACCTGCCTCCTTGGCTTATATTCCAAATACTTTATTTTTCATCTGTAAAAATTCTGATTCAACACATGTCTTACTCTTAACTCATATTTTCAAGCCTCTCATTTACATGTTGATGCATCTTAAGAAGCGGTTGTGTTGTGGCCTGTGCCTCGTATTCTAATAGTTGAAGCCCCTCAGGGTTAGGTTCTACTCTCTCTGCCAGCTCTTGATCATGGTGCTGTGTTTCCTTGTGTCTTTGATATTTCTAATTTTCATTTTTAACAAAAAGCTGCTTATTTTCTTGGAACCTTGTGAAAATCATTTGAAATCCGGAATGAACGTGCTACGTTCCAGAAAGGATTTTCATTTGCTTCTGGTGGGTGCCAAGGGGCACTGACAGTCTTTGGGACCACCCTGAAGTAGAGTTTTAGCTTGAGGTTTGCTTTTTTTTAAACTATGTGGGTTATATGAGTTCAGGCTGAAAACTGCATAAAGGCTAACTTGTGTTTCCAAATGCACAAGGAAGATTTTTCTCCTTCCTGTCTCAGTCCATCGAGGCTGCTATAACAGAATACCAAGGCTGGTGGGGGAGGGGGCCTTGTAAACACATTGATTTCATGGGGGTCTGGCTATAACCTTACATGGACAGAGCAAAAAGCTCTCTGGGGCTGTTTTGTAAGACTACTGACCCCATTCCAGAGGCCCCACCTCCAGATACTGGCACAGTGGGGACTAGGATTCAACGTGTGAATTTGTGGGGACACAAACATTCTATCCATTGTACCTCCTTACGGGGCCCTGCAGGCAGTGGAGCGTGGGTGTGCATGTGTGTGTCTGCTAGCACACCTTACTGCCTGCAGCTTTGGGACATCACTTCCTGGTGTGAGTAGATGCTTCCCTGGGTGGGCCCTGGCTTCTTTCTCTGTCCCTGGGCTCCTGGGGTCAAGGAGATGTGCTCAAGTTGCTCAGTTTGACAAGAAGTTATCTACATGGGTGTCAAACCCCCAGCATCACCGTTCGTGGCCTGCACGCTCCTCGTCCCCTGGCCAGCCCAGCTCTGCTCTCAAGAAGTTGTGAATTTAGTGTATGTCATGTAGGTACTGGGCACCTGCTCCTTCACGTCACTAGAAGGAGTGTCTCATCCCGGCCCTTGGGGGATCATGATGGCAGCCGGGGGTGGGCGCAAGTGTACAGACGGCTCTGGGAACGGGCGTGAAGGGGCAGGCCCTGTCCCTGTACAGCACAGCACTCCTGGGCTCAGCGGGGCGACCTCAGATGGGGGGCCAGGGGAGGGCGACTGCAAAGGCCTGTGAAGGCAGAGGTGGGGGTGCAGGTCTGGAGGACCAGCGGGGTGCGTGCACTCGCCAGAGCTGGCCGGCCGGGCTGTAATAGGCAATGTGGGCAGTGGGGCCTGGGATGCGCAGGATTGCTGGTGACCTCAGGGTCCCTGGAGGTCAGCAGCCAGGGCACAGCCCAGTCAGGGCCCGAGGAGGTAGTGTAGGGACTCAGGACCTTCTGGGCTTCCGTGCAGCTCCCCGCGAGGCTGCCCACGTGCTGCTCCCTCTCCGCCCCACCCTCCACCCTGCCTCCCCAGCCCATCTTGTCTCAGCTGGTGGCCTCCCCACCTGCCCAGGAAGATCCCCCACACCTGGGTGTCCCGAGCCCTCCTGGAGAACAAGCTGCCCCCTGGGTCCCTGAGGAGGAAAAGGCCACCACCCCCCCAGAGCTGCTGGGGCCCCAGCCCAGCCGGGGGCTGACGGGGGCCAATCCTGGGCAGAAGCTGGCTGGGTCATGGTCCCAGGGGCAGAGGATTTGCATTATTCCAGAAAATAAGTTATGGGCTGCGGGGACACGGGCTGGCTGCAGAAGGGCAGGCTATTTGGGTCTGCTCCACTGTGGAGCAGGACACCCGGCTCTGGGCTGTGCAGGTGGGTGGGGGCACAGGACTCCACACCCCTCCCAGCCCTTCAGCCTCCACCTGAGGTGGACACAAAGCTCTTGCTTTCAGACCCGGGGTGTATGCCCGGCAGGGCACCGGAACATCCTCCTGCTGTGGAGACAGGTCACAGCACTCCGGGCACACCTGGCTGAGCTGCGTGAAGCCACCGAGAGGTGGGCGCCTGGCGGCTCCTCGGGGAGGGGTGGGGCAGCCAGGGGTGGCCTGGCACTGCCCTCTGGCTCCTCATGGTGCTCAGTTCTGGCTCATGAGCCCCACACAGCCTTGTCTGGGCCTGGGGTTGGTCCCGTGGGAGTGGTGGGGAGGTGGGAAGGATGGGCAGTGGGGGAGGGCAAGAAGACACAGCAACGCAGCAGGGGTGCGAAGGGCAGATGAGGGCAGGGCGGCCAGGGAGGGGTCGCTGCAGAGGGGCGTCCACACGGACGGGGCTTCTGGGTCCCTGCAGCACTTGCCAGGCACCTTACACAGGTCTGTCCTATGGCCCTTGATGCACACGTGTGCATCAGTGTCCTGCTCGAGGCGGACAGCCCCTCGCATCTGGCCTGGCCACCCCCCGCTCACTTCTCCCAGCTGAAGGAGGGACAGGTGGTGCTGCACGTAGGAGCATCTCCTGAGGGGGGCAGGGGAGGGGTCTGCTGCTGGGAGCAGGCCTGATGGGGCCACACCCTGCCTCTCCAGCGGGAGCCCACAGAACGCCCCGAGTCTCAGCTGGGGCTGCCGCCTTTGTCCTCCAGGGGTCTTGCTGACATGCAAGCAGATGCTGCCAAGACAGCATGGCGCCTGCACACGGCCTGCCTGAACCTTGACTCCAGCCTGCGGCTGGCGGCCGGCAGTGCCCACAGCGCCCTGGAGCAGCGGCTGCGGGACAAGGTGCAGGACATGCTGCAACTGCAGGGCCGCTGGGACGCGGAGAAGGTGGCCCTCCAGGCCAGGTGGGCACCTGGGGTCAGGCAGGCGAGGGCAGGTGGAGGCCAGAGGGAGGCAGCCCATACCCCTGGGTAGCTGCAGGCTCTGAGCAGGCGGCTCTGCACAGCCCTGCTCCCTGATCGTGCCCGGTCCCTTGTTGTGCACATGGTTCTCAATCAGTCTCCCAGTGGCTGCATGACGTTCCTGAAGGCAGATGGCCCGGATGCCCTTAGCCTTCCCCAGGAGGCCCAAGGGAGTGCTGCAAGGGATACCTGCCCACTTTTACTCATGGCTGCCGCCAGGCCCCAATACACATTCTTCCACGGGTGGGTGCTTGTTTGGAGGTGAACTGATTAAGAAGCTGATGGGAGGGACCCAGGGCCTCTCCTGGTGCACATGAGACCAGGCCCAGCTGGGGTCTGTGAACCCAGAGTGAGCACACAAGGCCAGGAGCAGACCCCACGACCCAAGCTCGGATGCAGGAAATGGGGAGACAGCTCCCCAGTAAAGGCTGAACCTGCCAGCCGTGCAGCCAGATTCCACAGGACCTAGGCTTCTCCTTGCCAGGCTGGCGGGAGCAAGCCAAACTCCCCAACCCAGCCCTGAAGGACCACCATGGGGACCTAGGGGTGCTGAATGGTCCAGTGCCACCTGCAGGGTGGCACCCCAGAGCCTGCGCTCAGTTCTCTGGGGCCACAGGAAGGGAGACCCAGGAGTCCTTGAGAAGAAGGTAGCTCCTGGAAAGGAAGGGACAGTAGCTGATCATTAGACTTATGATGGTAGAGGTGTTCAGGCAGAGGTCGCACCTGTGCTGGAGGCCCACGGGTCAGCGCGGCACCTGCCATGGCCTAAGGACGGGGCAGAGCCTCAGGAAGCCACTGGCCATGAAGCTGGACCTTGAGTTGGGGTGGGGGTGGGGGTCCTGAATGCTGAACTAGGAGTCTGAGCTTTACTCCAGAGAAAGTGAGAGCCATTGAAGGTTCTAGGAGAGAGGCTCTGATCCAATGAGGCACCAAGGCCCACTCAGACAGAGGTGGTCAGTGGTCAGTGCCAGCTGGCAAGACAGCACCAGAGGAGTCTGGGCACAGCCGGCTCATCTTCAGGGCCCTCCCCACTCTGCCCTCTGTCCTCTGCCCTCATGGCCCTGCCGTGACACCCCCCAGTTTTTCTCCAGACTCTCTGAGCAGACACAGCTGGTGGACAAGCTCACAGAGCAAAACTCCAGGAAGGAGAGAACCATCTCTCACCTCGAAACAGAAGTTCAGAACCTGGTGCGTGGGGCCGGGAAGAGCAGCAGCTGTGTGGTGGGGGACAAGCGCCCGCCTCACTGAGGAGTCTGCCCTGGCCACAGGAGGCGCGGCGCAGTGGAGGCCAGCTGGCGGTGGGCGACTTAAAGGATGAAGTCGAATCCCTGTGGCATGTCTTGAACAGCATCACGAAGGTGCAGGCCCATTTCCCTGGTCGAGCAGGGATGAACCCCACAGGCCCAGCTACCCTGAGGCCTGCAAGGTCCCTGCTTGGCCAGAGTCCTGAGCTTCCTCTCTGCACCCGGAAGGTGGCCCAGGCAGACGCAGTGTGCCCGGAGCTGCTGCACAGCAGCAGCCTTGAGGGTGAGGAGGGGCAGGGCCGACTGAGGAGGCCACCATGCACCGTGTCCCTGCACTCGGGCCTGTCTCCACCACGGGCCAGCTCCCCGGCCACCCTGGACTGTGCACTGCAGGCCGTGCAGGCAGCCATTGAGAGGAGACGGCGGCTGGAGCAGGTGGGTGGCCACAGTGCCCCCCAGGGCACGAGAGGCACAGCTGTTCCCTGGTCCCCACCAGGGACAAAGCCATGATAGGTGCCATTACGGGTCCTGCCTGTGGCTCAACCAGGTGGGCCAAGCACCTGGCCTCCACAGGGCCTCCCCAGGAAGGGGGCTCGGACTCTTAAGTGTACCCTTCTGGAGGAGTCCTTGGTCAGAGGCTTGCCCAGGCCAGAGGGGACTCAATGTGCCCCCACCCCGGACAGGAGCTGCGCCTGCGGCTCGAGGCCTCTCAGGAGGAGGCGGCTGGGCTCCGGGAGCAGCTGTCCGAGAGCCAGCAGGAGCTGCGGGCCTCCAAGAGCCTCCTGCAAGAGCGGGTGCGGGAGCACGGGGACCTCCTGGGCAGGCTGGAGGCACAGAGCCGGGAGGCACAGCGCTGCCAGGCGTCCAGCAAGCTCCTGGGCAGGTGACCAGAGGGTGGGCAGGTGGCATGGGGCCGTCCCAGCCTGGGGCCTTCCCCTCATTAGGCCTTCCAGCATGAAGGCGGAGCGCCCGTCTCCCAGACAGGAGCCACTCCTGGCAAGGTGTCCCCTACCCCCGCCCATGCCGAGCCCCTCTCCCACCCTGAGCCCACCTGGGCTTCCCAGAGCCCAGGCTGAGCAGGTGCCCTGCCTCCGTGGCCTGCACCCCGAGCTGCCGCCAGCCTAGCACCGTTCCCACACTCCCCTCCTGGCCCTTCCCAGCCCCCTGCCTGGCTCCTAGGATGACTCCCCCATCCCACAGAAACGGTGCCCGAACACCCCCAGTTCCCTTTCCTCCCCATGCCCTGGTGGTCCGCATGCCCTGCTGGCGCGTCCTGTGGATCTGGCGGTCCATGGTGCGCTCAGCCGTGACTGCGCGTCTTACTGCGCTGGTGGGAGTAGGGGTGTGGGGCGAGAACCCCGGGACTTACAGTGCTGGGTGGTAGGCTCGGTGGGGCTCCCCAGATCCGCGGGCGGCCTGAGCAGGAGGCTGGCTGAGGGTGACGGGTGCGGGCTGGTGGCTCAGGAGGCCTCCTGCAGGAACAGGGGGAGGGGCAGTGCCCACCTCCCGTGCTTGCGTTCCTTCACCCTGGGGGGACCGCAGCAGTCCCCCGGCGGCTCCTCCCTGGAGGCCTGGTGGTCACTCCACTGGGACGGGAGGTCCATGGAAAATTAGTCCCAGTGCCACCTCGAGAGACCCTGGTAGGGGCAAAGAGGTTGGAGCAGGGCATCTCTGCCTGGCACAGTGTGGGTCCTGGGACCCCCCCGGGGTAGGAGCACAGGAGTTTGGGAGGGTGGGAGGGCGGGAGGGCCTCCCAGGGAGACAGGACAGAGGCGGGTGGAGCGCAGAGCTGCACCTCACTGAGTGCAGGTGAGGCAGGAAGGGGCCCCACCACCGCCAGAATCGGAGGGCGGCAGGAGCCCTGGGGCATGGGGCAGCGTGCACCGCCTTCCAGCCCAAGGCCTGGAAGGGCAGGTCTGCCTGCTGCGGGGGCGAGCTGCAGTGCCCTGGGGGCAGGTGGGCCCTCAGCATGGGGAGGAGGACCCAGGTGCAGGGGCGATTTGTGAGCTGCAGGCCTTGGGACTCGGGAGCAGCTGAGGTTCACAGTCTCGGCTGGTGGGTGACATGCAGGGAGGATTCGGGAGCGGCCAGACCCTGAGCACCGCTTTGCACAAGGGCGCTAGATCTCAGGGGCCGCAGAGCCCCGTGGAGCTGCCCCGTGGAGCTGGGGAGGGCACCGGGCCGGGAGTGGCCCCTGCCTTCCAGCCGAGTTCTGGCTGAGCGTGGCCTGCAGGCAGCACAGAGCTGAGCTTGGGACACACCAGGGGCCAAGATACCCCAGTGCTTTAGGGGCTCCCACAGGACCGCCAGAGGGGGACAAGCTGGCTGGGGGCCTCCCACCTCTGAGGCCAGCCTGGTGGCCGTATCTTCCTCCTTCCTGCCCACGCTTCCCTGAGCTCCTGTCCTGAGAGGCCTCCACAAGCCAGCACCCACCCTGCCTTGCCCACCCTCTGTGCCCAGAGAGGGTCCCTTGGCTCTCCGCCCCCATGCCCTGCTCCCAGGGAAAAGAGGGCTCTGGAGTCAGCCGTGGAGGAGCTGAGGGGAAAGGTGGCTGCCCGCGACGTGGAGAAGCAGCGGCTAGAGGCCACCAGTGCCGAGCTGCGGAGGAGCCTCCAGCTGTGCGCAGAACAGAAGGAGGAGCTGGTGCTGCAGGGCAGGACGCAGCTGCAGACCAGGTGGGCCGGCGGGGGGCTGGCAGCGCCCGTCATGCCCCCCTGGCCTTGGAGCCCCCATCTGCTGTGGGTCCGCCTCCTTCCCAGTCTCATCTGGGGACTGGGGCACCCAACAAGGGGTAAGAGGCTACCTGGACTCCCCACACCCAGACAGCCACTCCAGCCTCCCGCCAGAGCCCTCTGGGCAAGCCCACCCCAGGCCCAGCGGGCGGGGCCCCCAGCCTGTGAGCACCCACTCCTGGGCCAGGCATGCCAGCCCAGAAACAGGCACTCAGTGCCCGCTGTGCCCTCAGGACCTGCCAGCGGCCAGCGCTCCTGGGCTTGGAGGGGGTCGCAGGCAGTCGCCTGCCCGCCAGGCCCTGGGAGGCGGCCCTGTCTTGCCCTGAGGTGATGTCATCCTCTGCCCTCAGTCGGGGGCGCCTGGAACAGCTGGAGGAGCAGGTCTCGGGGCTCAGGAAGGAGCTGGTGTCAGCCCGGGAGGCCCTGAGCGCAGCCCAGCTACAGAGGGACATCCTGGAGGGCCAGCATGAGGGTCTGCGCAGCACCCTGGCCCGGGTACGCTGCCGCCCACCCCCACCTGCCTGGGCCTCCTCGGGCACCAGCCAGTGGGCACCCGCCTGTCCTCTGTAGCTGCTGGCCATGCCTACCCCACAGGCCACCCCACTGTGGGACCCTGTCCCACCCGGAGCTCCACTTACATGCCTCTGAGACACTGGGCTCACTCCCTGCCCGGCACCAACACCTCGCCCTGTGGGAAGGCTCTGCCCGTGAATCTGAGAGCCCTTCCCTGGGGTCCTGGGGTGACGGCTGCCCACCCTCGCTGCCCCAGGTGGAGTCCAGCAATGCTGACCTGGAACTGCTCACCGCCCGGCTGAAGGCAGAGGGGGTGAAGCAAAGGGACTCCCTGGCCAAGATGGCCACCCTGACAGAGGGGCTGGCCCAGGACAAGGGCACCCTGAACCTCCTGGTCCTGCAGGTGCGATGACCCTGAGCCTTGCCCGCCCCTGTGGCTGTGAGGGTGTCCCAGCCCTGGCCTCCAAGCCCAGGCTCTTTGAGTCACCCACCCACCCCCATCTTGTCCATTCCTGGTTTGGGGTCCGAGAGGCCCACAGAGGGACAGGGAGTCTGCTGGCCCTGGCTAGGCTGAGGGTGGGAAGGCCATGCCCCATGGGGCGGCCCAGAACAGAGATGGCCAGTCCATGGGTGCCCAGGGTAAGGACGCAGACCCCTTCCCTCCCCCTGGGGGCAGCTGGAGCAGGAGCGGGACCAGCTGCGGGAGCAGCAGAAGGCACTGGAGCAGGAGCAGGCAGGTGCCCGGGAGCAGCTGGCGAACGCCGAGCAGCAGCTGCAGCTGGTGCGGGCCGAGCGGAAGGGCCTGCTGCAGGCCTGCGGGTGCCTGGAGGAGCAGCTGGAGCAGGTGAGGTCTGCGGGGCTCCTGGTCCCCACCTGCCTCTGGGTGTGGATGGGCCACAGGCCCCGTTAGGACGTCCGCACCTGTGCTTGCTAACTGCAGAGTTGCCTGACATGGCTGGTGGGGTGGGGCAGGGGATGGGGAAGGGATGTGCAGAGAACGTTTCTGTCAGTCGCGTTCCCCATGTGCCGGGGCTGGGCTCTGCCCCTCAGGGAACCCAGAACCTCGGGCCCGTGGTCGTGCACCCTCAGGGCTGCAGGGCCTCACCGCCTCTGCTTCGTCCCGTTGTTCTCCTTCCTGAGCCGCACGTGCATCCAAGCACCGGCTCCCAAATCTCCCAGGGACGCAGACCCTCTGTTGCGCTGCTCAGACCCAGTTTAGCTCTTCTGCAGTCCTGGCCTGGGCCACGTGGAGACCCTGCCCTGCGGCCGTGGGCCTCTGGTAGCATCCAGACTCCGTGGCTCCATCACCTTTGGGACTCAGCACAGCCTCTTCCAGCCTCTCAGACTCTGTCCTGTCCCTCTTCTGGTTATGTCTCCTCTCTTCTTAAACTGAAGTATGACTGTGAATCGTGGTGCAGTTCTGCGAGCTCTGACAATTGCGTGCACCTGTAGAGCCGCCACTGAGGTGGAGAGTAGAATGCCTCCACCAGCTCAGGGGCCGCCACGTGCCCCTCCAGCCTCCACCCCTGGCACCCCCTGCTGTCACGTGCAGCACTTTGGACTGGCTTCCCCTGTTCTAGAACTTCTTGTAAATGGTGTCATAGAGTAATACTCTTTAGTGTCTGGTTTCTCTCAGCATGAAATCTTTGAGTCATCTGCATGGTAGGTGTCCAAGGGCCCTTCCTGTTGCCTGCATAGTAATATTCCACTGTGTGCCAATACCACACTTGTTAACCCAGGAACCTGCTGCTGGCCATTTGGGTTGTTTCCATCTGGAGCTGTATGGACAAACCTGCTTTGAACATTCATGTACATATATTCCCATGTCTCCTGAGTAAATACATAGGAGTGAAATCACGGAGTCATTGGTTAGGTTCGTGTTGAGCTTTATAAGAAACTGCTGAGCCATCTTCCAAAGTGGTCACATTACTTCACCACCAAGACCCCGGGAGACTTCCAGCTGCTCCTTGGCCTTGTCAGCATTTGGTATCATCTGTTGTTATTTTTTAGCTTTTCTGTGAGTGTAAAGTCATATACCACTTGGTTTTAATTTGCATTTTCCTGATAACAGACGACTGAGCCCATTTTCATGTGCTTATTGGGTATTCATATACTGTATTTCATCAGGTGTCTGTTCAAGTCATTCGCGCGTATTTTGTTAGGTGCTTGTGCTTGGTTATGGATATGTAGTTCATTTATCTTGGATACAAGTACTTTGTCAGGCAGATGTACCATGAATATTTTCCTCAGGGTTGCGACCTGCCTGTGTGTTTTCTTAATGGTATTTTTGATGGGCAAAAAAATTTAACTTTGGCAAAGTCCATTTTAACAAGTTTAAAAACAATCTGAATAATAACGGGGTTTTTTACCTTTCTGATTTCCATGTGTTTTATTTATTCTTTTCTTAATGTGCTGGCTAACGACCTGCAGAAGAAAGTTGAGAAGTAGTGATAAGAGTGGCCGTTCTTCCACCCAATTGTGGAGAAAGAATTCAATAGTTCACCCTTAAGTGTGGTGTTGTTTGTAGGCTTTTCATAGATGCCCCTTATCGGATTGAGGATGTCCCCTTTCATTCCTCATGTGCTGAGAGGATAATGCACCATGAATGCGCTTTGAAATCCGTCAAATGTTTTTTCTGTATCTATAAAGGTAACCATATCATTTTCCCCATTATTCTATTAATGTGGTGAATTATATTGATTAATTTTTAAAATGTTGAACCAACTTTGCTTGCCTAAGATAAACCCTACGTGGTCATAACTTAACAATGATTTTATATATTTTTAGATTCAATTTCATAATATTTTGTTAAGGATTTTTACATCTGTATTCATGAGGAATATTGGTCTGCAATTTTCTTTTCTCAAGAAGTTTTTGTCAGATCTGGAATCAGGGCCTCATAAAATCAGTTGGGAAGTGCTCTCTCCGCCTCTGTCTCCTGAAAGTGTTCTAAAATTGGTGTTATTTCTTTCTTAAATGTTGGTAGAATTCACTAGCAAAGTAATTTGAGTCTGGAGTTTTCTTTGTGAGAAAAGTTTTGATAATTCAATTTATTTAACAGATGCAGGACTATTCAGATTTCCTATTTACTTTTGTGGTTCTTTTTTCTTTTGCATGCTAATAATTTGGCTTGTGTTTTTATTATCATTCAGTTCAAACTATTTTCTCATTTTCTATGTGATTTCTTCTGACCCGCGAATTATTTAGATGTATTTTGCCTATTTTCCAAATATAGAGGTTTTCTAAATATCTGTTACCCATTTCTAATATAGTGCCATTATGATCAGAAAACACTCCCATATTTTTTAAATGGATTTAAATGTATTGAGGCCTGTTTTATGGCCCAGCCTATTGTATATCTTTTTGAACATTCCATGTTCATGTGAAAAGAATGTGTATTATGATGCTGGTGAATGTTGTGTCTATAAATATCAATCATACTTGATAGTGTTTAGATCTTCTATGTCCTTGCTGGGGTTTTTGTTGTTGTTGTTTGTCTTATTTATTTGGCTGGTTGTTTCTGTCTACTTGTTCTATCAGTGACAGAAGGGCATCAAAATCTCCATCTATCATTGTGGAATTGTCTATTTCTACCTTTAATTCTGTCAGCATTTGGCTCATATATTTTGAATTTTCTGATAATGATATAGCCCCATCAACTTTCTTATGCTAAGTGTTCTCATGATGTATACTTTACATACATTTACTTTGAATTTGTCTCTGTATGTATATTTACAGTGTGTTTCTTGTAAAAAGTATATTGTTGGGTCTTGCTTTTATATTTACTCTGCCCATCTCTACCTTTTAATTGATGCATTTACACCATTTACATTTAATGTAACCATTGATATGCTGGGTTTAAGTTCACCATGTCAGCATCTGTTTTCTATTTGTATCATTAAAAAAAGTTTTTTTTTTTACATTCTTCCTTTCTGGCTTTCTTTTCAGTTAGTTGCATATTTGTTTAGTATTGTTTTATTTTCTTTACTGATTTTTTCAGATATATTTCTTTTCATTATTATTTTACTAATTACTCTAAAATCATGATATGCATAGTTAATATTCAAATAATATTATACTACTTCGCAAATAATTTAAGAACCTTACAACCATATGTTTATCTCTGCTGTCCTTTGTGCTCTTGTTGTTATATATATTATTTCTATATGCATTGCTATAAAGCCTACATTTTTGTTTTAAATGGTCATTTTAACCACACGCACACACACACACGCACACGCATGCACATGCACATTTCAGTTATCTGACAAAATTATCTTCCCAGATATGTTCTTGAACATATTAATTACAATCTTTTTCAAGCCTTTTTTCTGAAAACTCCAATATCTGAACCACCTAATGGGTCTCTTTCTATTGTCTTTGATCCTCTTGGTTTTCAGTTGTTTGGTCTTACCTCCTGGTATGCTTAACAATTTTTATAGAATAACAGATGTTATGTTTTTGTAGAGATAATTTGAAGCTCTGAAAAATATCAACTTCCAGAGGGAATTTGCTTTTGATCTTGAGAAATCAGAGTAGGTGCAGGTCACCTTTATCCAGTCTTGAATTTAGCCCATTTGTAACTGGGTTTCAGTCTTTTGTGAGGAACAATATATTTCTGGTTTACCCCAAGGTATAGCATAACTCTCCTGTGTTCCTAACTGGACATTTTGGGTGTTTAATTTTTTTTCTCAATTCTACAAGACTGTCCAAAGTTCTATCTGAATTCCAGATCCTCAGCTGCCACTTTTCATTCAGATTTATAGTCCCTTGGCCCTATACTTTCTGTGAGTTATTTTTTAAAAATAGTATCATTAAACACACACACACACACACACACACACACACACAATCTCAGACTCCCCCTCCTTTCTGAGCTCTTAAACTCTCCCGCACCAGCTCCCTTCATAGCTCTGGACTGCATGCTGTGACTCCCCAGTCTCACAGGCCTGCCGCTGCCCTAGGTTAAGTCCCCAGCCTGTCAGCTAAGGCTTTATCCTTGGCCCCCGAGGCTCTGGGCACTGTGCTGCCTAGGAGCTGGCAGGTACCTCAAGGGGAAGTCTGTGGTAGAATGTCGGGCTCACTTTAATCCATGTCTCTCAGTAGCTGAGCCCCCTTGGGTCTTGGCTCCCTTGGCATCTCTGAGACCTTCATGCAGACATGTTGGAGGTACATTATACAGATTTTCTAGCTGATCTAGGTGAAAGGGTTGGTCTTCAACAATCTACTTCAGCATTATCAAAAGCAGAAAGTTCTGGTCTTTGTGTTTGAAGAATGTTTTTACCAGGTATGGAATACCAGGATAGGCCATTATTTTCTTTTGGCATTTTGATGAGTTTATGCCACTGTCCTCTGACTTTCATTGTTGTATTTGGAAATCAAGTGTCTGTCTTGTTCATTTAAAGGTAATGTGTGGTTCTTCGCCTCTGATTTTTAAAAATATTTTTCTTTAGCTTTGGTATTCAGAAAGTTAACTAAGCTGTATCTATGTGACATTTGCTTTGTATTTATCCTTTTGGAGGATTATGGCTTTTTAAATCTGTGGCTTGATGTATTTTATTAGATTTGGAAAGTTCAATATCTGCTCAAATATGCTCTCTCCTCTCCCTCTGAAACTCTAATTGTATGTGTGTTAGACCTTGTTACCTTTTCTTATATGTCTATTATGCTCTTTTCTGCATTTTCCATCTTTTTTTCTCTTCATGATTCAGTCTGAACACATTCTTCTCTCTGTCTTCCAGATTATTAATCTTCTGTCTAATCTACCATTGAACCCATATATTTATTAATGTTGGGTATTGTATTTAAATTATGTTGTTTATATTTAGTTTCTAGTTCTATTGTGAAATTCTGTATCTTGCCATCCATCTTCTTGAACATTTAATAACAACTATTTTAAAGTCTGTTTCTGATAAGTACTTGGATAACCAAGGGAGCAGGGAGGTATTTGTGTTTATGTTCTTACATGTGGTTTTGCTATACGATCATATCTCCCAATATTCCTGATAATATTGATTAAATGCCAAATATCATATATAAAAATTGTAGAAGTGATTTGAGGGTCTTGATGCCGTTCTTTCAGAGAGGATTTACTCTTGATTCGGGCAGGCAGTGAAGCTCAATGACCACTGCGACCCATGCCTGAGATGATCCGAACCTGGGCTTCGGTTTTATGTGGGGTGCCCCATTTCTGGCTCACCACCCCTTCCAGGCTGAAGCCCTTCTGTGAAGATAACTAGAAACCTGGGTGTGTATCAAGGCTTCTCTGCTATGGTGGCTCTGAACTCGACTGGCACCCTTAAGGCCCTAGTGCTGCCAGAAGTTCTCCTTGGCTTCTCAGTTCCTCAGCCGAGATGTTTAAGTGCTCCGAGAAGAGAAGAGGCACTGCGTGGCGGGGTGCTCCCGCCCCCTCTCCCCCGGGCCTCGACTACCCCCGTCCCAGCCACCTCCACAGCTCTCTGAGGCCTCGTGTGGATTTCCGTGACATGTTTGTCTAGATTTTTGTGACATTCTTGATGGAAGTATTAGTCTACAATGATCTGGTCCTCTGTCACCTTCTGCTGCCATTTCTGTGTGGTGTTTCTTGCCCCCCACATACTTGCGGCCCATCAATTCTACAAGACTGTCCAAAGTTCTATCTGAATTCCAGATCCTCAGCTGCCACTTTTCATTCAGATTTATAGTCCCTTGGCCCTATACTTTCTGTGAGTTATTTTTTAAAAATAGTATCATTAAACACACACACACACACACACACACACACACACAATCTCAGACTCCCCCTCCTTTCTGAGCTCTTAAACTCTCCCGCACCAGCTCCCTTCATAGCTCTGGACTGCATGCTGTGACTCCCCAGTCTCACAGGCCTGCCGCTGCCCTAGGTTAAGTCCCCAGCCTGTCAGCTAAGGCTTTATCCTTGGCCCCCGAGGCTCTGGGCACTGTGCTGCCTAGGAGCTGGCAGGTACCTCAAGGGGAAGTCTGTGGTAGAATGTCGGGCTCACTTTAATCCATGTCTCTCAGTAGCTGAGCCCCCTTGGGTCTTGGCTCCCTTGGCATCTCTGAGACCTTCATGCAGACATGTTGGAGGTACATTATACAGATTTTCTAGCTGATCTAGGTGAAAGGGTTGGTCTTCAACAATCTACTTCAGCATTATCAAAAGCAGAAAGTTCTGGTCTTTGTGTTTGAAGAATGTTTTTACCAGGTATGGAATACCAGGATAGGCCATTATTTTCTTTTGGCATTTTGATGAGTTTATGCCACTGTCCTCTGACTTTCATTGTTGTATTTGGAAATCAAGTGTCTGTCTTGTTCATTTAAAGGTAATGTGTGGTTCTTCGCCTCTGATTTTTAAAAATATTTTTCTTTAGCTTTGGTATTCAGAAAGTTAACTAAGCTGTATCTATGTGACATTTGCTTTGTATTTATCCTTTTGGAGGATTATGGCTTTTTAAATCTGTGGCTTGATGTATTTTATTAGATTTGGGAAGTTCAATATCTGCTCAAATATGCTCTCTCCTCTCCCTCTGAAACTCTAATTGTATGTGTGTTAGACCTTGTTACCTTTTCTTATATGTCTATTATGCTCTTTTCTGCATTTTCCATCTTTTTTTCTCTTCATGATTAAGTCTGAACACATTCTTCTCTCTGTCTTCCAGATTATTAATCTTCTGTCTAATCTACCATTGAACCCATATATTTATTAATGTTGGGTATTGTATTTAAATTATGTTGTTTATATTTAGTTTCTAGTTCTATTGTGAAATTCTGTATCTTGCCATCCATCTTCTTGAACATTTAATAACAACTATTTTAAAGTCTGTTTCTGATAAGTACTTGGATAACCAAGGGAGCAGGGAGGTATTTGTGTTTATGTTCTTACATGTGGTTTTGCTATACGATCATATCTCCCAATATTCCTGATAATATTGATTAAATGCCAAATATCATATATAAAAATTGTAGAAGTGATTTGAGGGTCTTGATGCCGTTCTTTCAGAGAGGATTTACTCTTGATTCGGGCAGGCAGTGAAGCTCAATGACCACTGCGACCCATGCCTGAGATGATCCGAACCTGGGCTTCGGTTTTATGTGGGGTGCCCCATTTCTGGCTCACCACCCCTTCCAGGCTGAAGCCCTTCTGTGAAGATAACTAGAAACCTGGGTGTGTATCAAGGCTTCTCTGCTATGGTGGCTCTGAACTCGACTGGCACCCTTAAGGCCCTAGTGCTGCCAGAAGTTCTCCTTGGCTTCTCAGTTCCTCAGCCGAGATGTTTAAGTGCTCCGAGAAGAGAAGAGGCACTGCGTGGCGGGGTGCCCCCGCCCGCTCTCCCCCGGGCCTCGACTACCCCCGTCCCAGCCACCTCCACAGCTCTCTGAGGCCTCGTGTGGATTTCCGTGACATGTTTGTCTAGATTTTTGTGACATTCTTGATGGAAGTATTAGTCTACAATGATCTGGTCCTCTGTCACCTTCTGCTGCCATTTCTGTGTGGTGTTTCTTGCCCCCCACATACTTGCGGCCCAGCCAAGGTCCCCGTTTGGATTGGCGGCCGTCTCCTGCCCGGAGTACTCGGCACAGGTACCCTGTCATGGTCGCAAGAGCGGGGTATCCCTCCGCTGGGCCCCAATGCGCCTGTACCCCTTCCTTCCATGGCATCCTGCAGGAAATGGCTTCTTTTCCCTTAGGAGACCCGCTCTCTCTCTCTCTGCTGAGCTCTTCCCTTCCCCCTCCTCCAGGTCACATGCAAGAAACAGGACCTGCAGGAGCAGCTGGCCCAGAGCCTGCAGGACCAGGCGGCCCAGATGGACACGCTCCAGGGCGCCCTGCGCGAGAAGGAGGCTTTGTCTGAGGAGCAGGCCCGGCTGCTGGCTAAGCAGGATGCTCTAGAGAGACGGGGTCAGCTCACTGCTGAGGAGGCAGCTGACCTCAGGTGCCAGGGGGCCCGCCGATGGGGTGTGTCCGGATGGCTTTACCCTCGGAGAGCCCGCAGTGTGGCAGGGATCAGACACTCCCTTGGCAACTGGAGGGCCGGGCAAATATATCTAATTGGGAGACAGGCTGCGAGTAAGGGGCAAACAGGGCTCGTGGGCAGGGGGAGCATCTAGAAGAAGTGAATCCAGTGAAAGCCCTGGGAGGCCTTCCTGAGAGAGGAGGCCCAGCTGGGACCAGCAGCGGCCAGCCAGGGAACACCTTGTTCATGGGTCTGAGAAGTTCAGGGCACAAATGGCTTCAGGCAAGGCTGCATCCGGGTGTTCCCACAATGCCCTCAGGACCTTGCCTCTCTCCCCTCAGTGCTGCTCGAGTCTGAGGAGATGTCACCCTTGGGTGGGCTCGGGGTGAGGGGGCCAGATGGCCAGCAGCCCCTCCAGGCTTCCCGCTCCAGCGGACACAGGGCCAGGAAGAGCTCCTGCCATTGACCAGCGTGATCCGCCTTGGGAGTCGCAGGGCTCAGAGTGGCAGTCTGAGGTCACATGCCCATGCCTGGAGCTGGGGCAGTGTCAGCCCCAGGGAACCATGAGGCTAAAGAGGGGGCAGGGTGAGCTCCAAAGGCCACTGTGGTTCATTTCCCGAAGACGTGGGTGGGCACTGGTACCCGAGAGCAGAGGCGTCCTGTACTGCTGCCGGGTGAGCTGAGCGGGTCCCGCGGCCTCTCTGGAAATCAGAAGGCTGGTGGCTTTCTACACCTTGTGGGCTCTTCTCAGGAACAGCTAAGTATCTTTGTAGAAAATATTTATTTCCTCCTGGAATTCCAGAATCTGGGGGTCATGAGAACCCTCTGAGTCCCAGGTCCTGGGACACCTTCACAGGCAAACGTCTCCTGCAAATGCCAGCTCGCACAGAAATCAGGAAGGAAAAGCTGATGGGGGCTGCTCTGGGTTGGCAGGAGTGGAGGTCCCAGGGTCCTGCCCGCCCCCCTTCCCAGGCCCCGTGGGCACTCGGAAAAGCAGGGGACGAGGGACCCATACTCTTGCCAGGATTTGCTGCCTGGATCACGGGCCCTGGTCAGAGGCTTTACCAGCCACAACCGTCCCTGAGACTCAGTCCTGCCTGCACCCAGGGCCTCTACGTGCGGGAGCCCTGCAGCCCCCAGACAGAGTCTCTCTCCTGCTAAACAGCGCTTCACGATGACCAGCCTGAGCCTCCAGGGATGCTTGGGACTTAGGGGGAGCATCTAGAAGGGGTGAAATACACCGGATGCACATGGTGTGTTTATCTGGCTGGTTTGCTGGGGCCGGAGGGTCTGGCCACCGCTGTTTCAGTGAGCTCCCAGGTACTGTTGGCGAGCATGAGGCCTGAGAAGTCCTGCTCCAGCTGTTCACTTCTGCTCCCGCTCCCATAGTCGACCTGTTTGACGGGGCACCCCAGACTTCAGGGTCCTCTGGCCCCCCCACCAGGCCCTGCCAAGGCTGGGGCGCCAGAGAGACGCTCAGTTCAGGGACAGGTGCATGGGGAGACGCTGCCTGCGAGATGGTCTGGGGTCCCCACCGCACCCCACCTGCACCCGTGCTGGTGGTGCTGGGCCTGCACGCCAGCAGGCTGGAATGCTCTTCAGCTTCTGCAGAAGAAGGGACTGCACCCCCTTAGGTTCCCAGGCCTCCTGGTGAAGTTCCTGATGGACAAGCAGCAGAGGCTGCTTCTCCCAGAGGGACAGGCAGGCATCTGGGCAGAGAATGGGGACTCTCCACGTGCAGAGCTGGGAAGCACCTAGGCTGGGGAGCACGTGGCTGGTGCAGGGAGTGGGCACTTACAGGGTAGGGACCCGAAGGGGGCCTGGGTGTCAGAGAAGTGAAGCTTCTGGGCTTTGCAGACATTAGGGGCCCTGGGAGGTGTTGGCATAAGCCACCCCTGAGAAAGGTGGCAGCAGGGAGACCGTGTGAGACTGGGGTCCTGTTAGGGCGGGTGAGGTCCCCATGGTCCTCCCTGTGTCATGGGCTCGTGGGATATGTCTGCTATTTGTGTGTTCCTGCGGGCGTCACTGTTTGAGCATCTGTGGTGTATTGTTTTCACCGTGCATCACCCAGCACAGGGAGAGCGCAGTGACCACTAGAACACGGTCACTGGCCCATTGACGGGTGAGGGATTGGCTGTCTTCTGACAACCACTTCGGCCACTTTCTCACCCTCTGCAGAGATGGGCTCTGCTGTGTATCATCCCGGGTGTTTTCTGAGCGTCTCTGTGCACACAGAGACCCAGTGCAGGCTGTTTCTGTGTGAACGGTCACGCTGCAGGCGCAGCTCTGTCCAGGCGGACTGCTTTCAGGGTGGCTCTTCCCACCGCAGGAGAGGACAGTTTCCTCATCCTCATTAACAACAGACAAGATGCACCATATCACTAAAACATTTTGCCATTTACAGCATTGACGTGGAGTCCGATTAATACCCTCTTTGAAGCTACAGTGGATATTCTTGTACACACATTGTGGGTTCATGTATTTTCCTACAGAACTGACACCTGGAAGTGGAATTGCTGGCTCAAAGATAGCACAGCCAGAGTTTTGAAATTCCTCAGCCCCTCCCCCCCAAAAACCAAAGAAAACGGTCCTTCCACCCTTGCCAACACTGTATATTATTATTTTGAGCTTACGCTAATCTGACGGTGCTCAGCAACACTTAATGATTGTGATTTGACTCTCCTTGAGTACCAGGAAGGCTGAGCGCGTTTCCTGTTTATTCAATATTTGTGTTTTCTTTGTGAACAACAAGCATTTGTTCTTGTTTTTTCTGTGGGATCCATTGACTCGCTGTCACCGATCAGTAGGAGCTCTTCGGTATGATGGATATTCACCCTTTGCATATTTAGTGCAGATTTTTTCTCCAAGTCCGTCCCTTAAGTTGGTTTGTGGAGTCTTTTCTGTACAAAAGATCCCTCGCCCTCTCTTTAACTGTATTTAGTTCTGTTGGTCACTTTATTTTTACCTTCTGGATCTTGTTTCTTGCATAAGAAGACTAAAAAATACCTTTCTGTGTTTTATTCTGTTTTTATGGTTCTAAGTTTAGTTGTTTGCTTTGATTTGTTTCTGTCTTTAGCTTTTTAATCCACTTGAAAACAGGTCCAATTTGTCTTTGGAGATTTAAACCAACGAGACGCCATGTGTTTACCTTCTGATTCACTAGCTGGGCCCTGGTGGGCGCTGTTCTGTCACCCAGCAGAGGCTCTGGGCCGTCCCTCATCGGCAGGGTCGCCTGGCTGATGGCCCTTCTGCTGGACGATTCTCTGCAGGGCTGCGAGGGACGCTCTGCAGAGCAGCCTCTTCGAGGCCCGGCAGCTGGCGGAGCAGCTGCAGGCACAGCAGGAGCAGCTGCAGGGAGAGGCCCAGAGTGCCCGGCTCGCTCGGCAGGCCTTGCAAGGTGCTCCCTGGGCAGGCTCCCCACAGGGGCCCCAGAAGACCCCTGCAAAGGGGCTCTGTCCCGGATGTGCTGCCCTCACTCTGTGGTCTCTGAAGGGGCACAGACACGGGCCTGGAGTTCATGTGGTCCAGAGGGTGGTGCCACTGTTATCTGTGAGGGGTGGGCACTGCCCGGCCTGCTTCCAGCACTGGCCCAGGTGGCCTCCTTTCAGGGCCACCACTCTGGAGGGAACTGGCAAGGCCCAAGGGGGATGCCATGGCAGGGCAGCCCTGTGGCCCGTCCCTGATGCCCCTGTTGCTTCACAGTGGAGATGGAGCAGCTGAGAGGTGCCTGGGAGGCCCAGGAGGCCAAGCTGCAGTGGGATGTGGGGCAGCTGCGGCGGCGAGCAGTTCAGCAGGAGCGGGACATGCAGCTGGCCCTGGAGAGCCAGGCGCTGGCCCACCGTGAGGACCTGGCACGGCTCCAGAGGGAGAAGGTCTGCTTCCCTGGGGCCACCCAAGCTGTCGGGTCACTTCCCGGGAGCCCCAATGTCCTAAAGAACTGCAAACGCCTGGGCAAGGGGCCACGGACACCAGCCAGGAGGCGGAGGTATTCCAGCCGCCCTGAGGCTGAGCCGGAGGCGGCCTCTCGGAGCTCGAGGGGGCAACCCCGGGCCCTGTGGCCTGGCGCACGTGTGCAGGGCTTGGGGGAGGATCCCTCAGAGAAGAAGCCGGACCTGGGGGTTGGCGGGCCTGGCTGCAGCCGGAGGGCTCATAGCTGGAGAGCATGTTACCCCCCTGAGCCATCCCACTGGGCAGAGGCTCTGGCAGGCCGTCACGTGTCCTTCCACGTCTTGCATGCAGCGGTGGTTGGTGCCCGTGGAAGCTAAGGACAGGCTCCCAAATTTAGGTAAAAGTGGGGTGGCACATGCTCAGGCCCAGCGAGCCCTCTGCAGCCCTTCTCCCGTGCCACCCATGCCACCGTGTGTAGAATGAGGGTGTGCGTCCGGCTGGAGCGGACATCGCCCAGAGACCTGTCCTGCCCTGCTGTCCTGTGAGCCAGGGCGCCCAGACCACAAGCACCAGCTGTTCTCATGTGTCCTGACCTGTGACGTCTTCTTTACCCGTCCCTATGCCCCGGCCCAGGAGACACTGAATCTGTCTCTGACGAAGGAGAAGGAGACCGCGGCACGTCGGCTGGACCGGGAGAAGGAGCTGGCGGTGAGGAGGGCTGCCAGGAGGGAGGCCTTGAGGGCGGAGGTTCAGAGCTGGAGACAAGAGCGTGGTGAGCGTCTCCTCCCACTGGAACATGAGACGCAGCAGGTGACAGGGACTATGAGGTGGCCAGGGTCCTCGCCCCCGCCCCGCCTGGGGGGGCGGCCTTTCTGGGCCGCTGCGGTTGTACCTTTGGTCTTCACAGCAGCCCTGGCAGACAGACACCGCCCCCCCCCCGACTCATCCACCAGTCCAACCACCCACCCACCCCTCCCGCCCTCCATGCACTTGACTGCCACTCCGTCCAGTCGTCCATCATCCATCTGTTCACCTGAACAGTCATCCTTCTATCCGCACACCCAGCTGCCCACCCACACGCACAGCCCTCTGTCTACATACCTCCCTGTCCTCTCACACGCAACACACATCTTCCCATGAACTTGCTTAAACATGCATCCAACTACCCATCTGCACAGCTGTCTAACCACCCCCTTGACCATCTATCTCTTGACCAAACACCCTTCCCTCTACCCACACACTCCGCCGTCCATCCGTACCAGACACCCACCCAGGCGTCCAGCTGCCCAGCCAGCCAGTCGTCCGCGAATGTCTCCCAGCACACACAGCCATCAGCCACCGCCTGGCCGTCCCCCTCCCACGGGTGTGGGGACGCGGACCTGGGCGCGTCAAACCCGCTCTGAGCCCAGGCGCTTCCGTGCCGGCCTGAAGCGCCCCCTGTGGAGCGAACGGGACAGACAAGGAAACGCATCCCTTTACGCCATACGCGGGTGATGGGACGCTCCATGTCGGTGCAAATGACAAGTCGCAAGGGGGGACCTGCAGTAGTGGGAACGGCCAAGTCACTGTCAGCGCTGTGCGCCCGGATTCTCACCGCCCTGAGGTACACGCCCTCACCGGCCCCACTGTGCTGGTGACAGGGCGAATGCCTGCACGTGGAATGCCTTGCCCGGGACGGCAACGCGCACCTGCTGGGCAGGGGGCCGCGCTCTCGGCCGCTCCAGGACTCTGCTTCCCGGGAGGGAACAAAGGCTCTGCCTCCGCGGCGGCGTTCGGAGGCCTTAGGGAGGAGCAGGAGGTTGTGGGCACCGGCGAAGGGCATCTGCAGGGCGCCCGGGGGCCCCAAGGAGCCCTGTGCAGAGCACGTCAGGTGCAGCCGCTCGCCAGCGTGACCCACAGACCTCGAGAAGCGCTATGCTTGTGATCACGGTTCTGTTACAAAGGACACAGACGAGGGCCAGCTGGATGGAGAGACCCTGGGACGGAGTTCCTCCCCGTGCCGTCGGGGCATGTTACCCCCTGCCCGTCCGCGTGTGCTTGCCCCCGGGAGCCTCCGGGTTTCATGGGGCTTTCCCCCGCTGGGCGTGAGTGCGGGCATCCCTGGCCATGTGGGGCCGAGGCTCCGCCCCTCCGGAGGCTGGGGGTCGGCGGTCCAGGAGCTCTGACCACGTGCTCGGGCTCTTGCATGGCCAGCTCCCAGCCCTGGAACTGGACAGGGCGCCGGGAGTTCCCTCACTGGCATCGACTGAGGTGTGGTCCCAGGGGCCCAGGAACAACAAAGACACTCCCCACCTGGGAAATCCCAAGGATCCGGAGGCTGCCCCCGGGACCCAGGACAAAAACCAAATTCTTTATTCTGTATCATCCTCGCAGAGATCACTGTACCTAGAGGAGCAAAGAGGAATAGATATTGTTGCCCCTACCTTTACACAAGAACGGTGAGAAGACCATGCAATGTTCTAGGCCTTTCTTTCCTCAGGACCAGCATACCCTGGAAGTAGGTCCACACCTGTGTGTTCAGGGCTTGAACACTCTTCATCTCAGCTGCAAAATGTCCGGTTGGGGACACGGGTCAGCATCTGTGCTGTCGGCCTCCCGACACTGGATATGTGGGTTCTTTCCAGTTTTTTACCATTGCAAACAGTGCTCAATGGCCTTGACCGTGGCCCTGACCACAGGTCCTCTCACCTGGCGCACAGGTCTCCAGGCCTGCCTTCCCCAGTGGGCCTGGGCCTCGAGGGAGCACACACTTGTGACTCTGACAGGCATTGCGAACGCCTTCTGCCTTCCACGGCCAGTGCGATGGAGCAGCATTTGCTCCACGTGCCCCCCCCTCGGGGCTGATGCGCAAAGTGCAGCGTCTCTGGACGCACCTGCGCCCTCACCTGAGGTGGCGTGAGTGTTTGCAGAGGTTAAGGACCGTTGGTGGTCCCTGCCCTGTGCTCTGCGGAAACATTGTCTGGCGTGTTCGGGGGGCTCAGCGGAGGTGGTGTGTGAAGCCAGCTTGGAAAGAACACATCTTGGACAGGTGCAGGATGGGGAGGGGAAGGCCCAAGGCTGGACTCGGGGTGCCTCCCAGGCGCTGCCCCTCCAAGAGCAGAGCCAGGAACCCAGGGCACCAGCAGGGGCTTTACAGCCAGCGTTTCACTGCAGCGTCTCCCTAGAGAGACCCCTGTCCCCTCTCAGCACCCCCACCCTGTCTCACCAGGCCCTGTCTCTGAGAGAAGCAGAGAGGAGCCTGCTGAGGGGCAAGCTCTCTGAGGCCGCGAGGGAGGTGGATCGCGTGCGGCAAGAGGCCCAGAGGCAGCGTGAGCAAGCCCAGGTGAGCCCCCCGGGCCCACTGCATGCTTCCCGGCCGACGCCGCCAACCCCCAGCTGCACCCTTCCTCCTGGTCCGAGGGACACGTCCCCCTTCAGCAGTTTCCCCGGCCATCCCCAGGGTCTCGTGCTTGGGGGTGGGGGCGCACTGTCTCCATGGGAAGAAAAGGCTGCGTGAACTGCTGAGGGAGCCAGTCCCTGCCCCTGGCAGCAAGCCGCAGGCACCACGGTTCCACCAGGCCCAGTTCCCCCTCACCTGTGGACTAGGCAGTGGCCGGAGAGGCGCCCTGGCCACACGTGGGGCAGCAGCAGGGGCCACCACCGGGCCTGGGTCCCCCGAGCCTTGCGTGTTGGTGCCCTCGAGCTGCTCTGTATGCATAGCTGCGGGAAATGTGCACGAGGTACCTCCAGGGGAGCAGCCCCAGGGGGGTCAGCATCGCGGCCTCACCAAAAGGACTCCATGCAGAATCTGAGGCAAGGCCAGGAGGGAGGCACCCACTGAGGGGCTGCCAGCAGGCGGCTGCCCACCCTGGGCCAGTGGACAGATGCCCACTCTGCATGGGGCTGCTGAGGGCAGCCAGCAGGGGCCACTCAGGGCCCAGACTCCTCAGGAGCCCACGCCCAGGGGACAGGTCAGGCAGCAGTACCTCGGACCCTGGGGAGGTGGGGCAGAGACTCTGGGACCTGTGCTCCCTCACCACCAGCGGGATCGGTCTCCCTGCTGTTGCTGGCAGGGCGGCCTCAGCCCGTTTGGGAGGTGCTGCCAAGCCCCGCGTGAGTGATGCAGAGAAAAGGGCCAGCTCACAGGAGGAGGGGGGCGATGCAGCGGGGCCTAGTGAGGAGCAGCTGCGTGCAGCTGGGGTCCGGACTGCTGCCCTGGGGGTGGCCTGAGCAGACAGGTGCCTCAGGCACGTGGATGGCCCCCAGGACACAGCCCCCACCCTGCAGCGGGCGGGTATGGTCAGGTTAGGTGGGACCCTGCCCTCCACTCCCCTCTGCCCCATGCGTGGCTCTGCTGGCTGGCACCCCACCTCCTCTGCCTCTGGCCTCTGGCTGCCCAGTGCCACTCCTTCCCTTTCAGTCCAGGACACCCTCCTCGCCCTGGTCCTGGGTGTGTCCCCAGCCCGAGGGCCCTGGTACTGAGGGCACTCTCAGTGAGTCAGTGCACAGAACACAGACTAGGGCTCCAGGCCCAGAACCTCCGGTGAGCAGCGACCACTCACCAGGGCAGCGGGAAGTCTCCTGGCTGGGTGGGGGGAGGACATCAGGGCCTGGAGCAGCCTCACAGTTGACTGACCAGCCAGGCAGCGGGAGGCGGGAGATGGGCAGAGAGACCCACAGGGCATCAAGCAGTGGAAAAGGGAGTTGCAATTAGGAGTTGGCTGCCAGGCGTTTCTCCATGGCACCCCCACCACCCCGCCCCACGGGGTGACCTGGACCCGGCTCTCTGAGCGGAACAGGGAGTTGCTCCTGGATCCCGGGGAGTCTTGCCCAAGAGCCTCTGTCCCTGGAGTTGTGCCCTGCCCCTGAGACCTGATGGACCCTCCAGGGTCACAGGCTGGAGGAGGCCCCCCCTTCCTTTGACCCCTTCTGAGCTGCTCCATGGGCCCCGCGTGCCGCAAGGGAACAAGAAAGCTCCTGAGGCCTGGGAGCCGAGGCCCAGCTCACGGAGGGGCCTCCTGGGGACCCTTCCCTGCCCAGACAGGGGTGGCCTGCCAGCCATCAAGGCCTCTCTTGCCACTTGGTTTGGAAAATGGAAATTAAAACCCTCTGAGCTGTGGTGGGAAGGGGAGAAATGCCAGCCAAGAAGCACCGTTTGGGGGATGACGTAAGAGCAAGCCCCTGCAGGACGGAGGGCTCCTGACCTCTGCCCAGTCACCCATGGCCCGCACAGGGGCCTCCTGGCCTGGCCGTGCTGACACTTCCATAGCAGCGCTGGGGCCACCCTAGGTGGTGCCTGTTAGTGGAGAGGGACGGCAGGGCTCGGGGACAGAGAGGGCACCACCAGGCTCCCTTGTCAGGCTCGGGGAACTCAGAGGGAGGAAGCCCCCAGCCCAGCCGTGCCCGTGGGCAGTGGCCTGCAGAGCCCCTGGGGTAGGAGTGAGGCAGCAGGAGCCGACTGGGGAGACGAAGGCCGGAGGCAGAGGAGATGGGGTGCCGCCTGCCTGGGGCACAAAGCCAGCTCTGTGTGCTCACCTGGCTAAGGAGCTGGTCCTGGGGGCCAGGACCACTCTGAGGCCATGGCATGGGAGGGGGAGGGTCTCGGCAAGGGCCTAGGGCTCATGTTTGTGGACAGGGAGGCACTTCCAGCACCCTGCTGTCCAGCCTGGGGCCCAGGGCCCCCTCTCCTCCAAGCACCTGTGGGTGGCTCTGGAGAGCAGGGTGTCGGGCACTGTGCCGAGTCCTGAAGGGATGTCCAAGCCACCTGAGCGTGGCCCTTGCAGGCATGGCCCCCGCCCAAGGGGGGTTGGCAGAGCCCTTGGCCCCCTCCCAGACATGTCTGTGGGTACTCACACATTTAGAGCAGGCCGGGATTGTGGGTGTCCCTGAATGCCTCCTGTTGAAAGCTCAGGAAGCCAAGGGTCTGGATGATAGTGGGGCGGCTCCTATGGTCACCTGGACTGGGGGAGTGGCCCTTCCCTTCCCTGGCCACCACCCCATCTCCTGAGGTGGGGTCCAGCCTTGCTCACCCTATGCCAATGGGTGGGGCCCCAGAGAGGGGGCCAGAGGCACTGACCGCAGCTGACGCCCCAGCCATTGGGGACTGTGGGGCCTAGGGGCTCCTCCGGGTGAGGGCAGAGCCGTAGCCCTGAGCCCCCGGGCACAGAATCCCATGCAGCTCCTGGTCTATGGCGTTTGGGAGGGCAGGACCTCATATCCTTTGCAAATGGCCACGCTTGGCCCAACAGCAATGTTTCAGGAAGGAAAGGAGTTGGTACGTGGGTCCCAGACTGGGCCCCTGCTGCCCACCCTTCCCTGGCAAGGGAATGCATGGGGGCAGGGCCCAGGGCCAGCCCCTCCCCATGGGGAGTGCTTCTCTGGGGCCTCCGTCCCCACCTGTCCCCACCTTGAACCCTTGTGACCCAGCATCAGTGACACTGGCACAAGGTCTGTCTGCATAAAGGCCCTCACCTGGGGCCCCCGGCCCAGTGCCGGCCCCCACCCACCTGTGCAGCCTGAAGAGGCCACCTGTGTGGCCCCAGGACGGGTGTGGCTGCCCCCATGGGCCCAAGCAGAACATCCACTGACCCTTGACAGTGTGGCCGCTCCCCCCAGGAAACCGTCAGTGCCACGACTGCCGAGCTGCAGGCCCTGCAGGCCCAGTTTGAGGACGCCATCTCCGCCCATCAGGGAGAGGCTGCGGCCTGGAGCCAGAGTCTCCGGGAGATGGCGGCAGAGCGCAGCAACGTGGGGAGAGAGGTGAGGCTGGCGCCGCGGTGCCAGGAGGCACGTGGGGGACAGTCTTAGATGGAAGTGCCCCAGCTGGGCAGCCTGGAGCTCCACAGGTGGGCAGAAAGGGAGCCGTTTCTGAGGTGGACCTGACAGGACCTAGGGACCTGGGAGAGGGGAGCACGGGGCCAGGGGTTTGGGCCGGAGGGTGAGCAGGAGCCCAGGCTGGGCCGGGGGTGCCAAGGGGCCGAGGCGGCCTCGTGCCCTCCCCGGGCGAGGGGTGGCCTCCCAGCACCCAGGCGCAGACCGAGGCAGAGTGAGACTGGACACAACAGGCTGTTTGCTCTGGCCCCTGAGAAAGGGCTCCTTTCAACGGATCTCAGAGCCAGGCCAGCGGGTGGCCACACGGGGGAGCAAAGAGAGGCCTGGAAGCCGGGGGCAGCACAGGCGGGAGCCAGGGAGAAGGGGGGCATCTGTGTCAGGCGGGGTGAGGAGTCCCAGTTCCCAGAGAGGAGCCCCAAAAGGAGAGGGCCCCCAAAATGGAGGGGGGCAGAAAGAACAGCTAGGGGAGCCGCGCAGAACCTCCCAGGCGCCAGGCTGGCCCGGAGTCACCATGGAAACCATGACTTCTCACAGCCTGTAAACTAGAGGGCTGTCCAGCCTCTTGCAGACCTGCCTGAGGTCCACACGTGTGCACGCACACACCCCCACACTGCTCACACATATGCACACCCTACCCCCCAGGAACACACGTGCACACAGTGCCAGCACGTGCACATGCACACACACATGGGCACAACTTGCGTGTGCAAACACACAGGGACACCGCGAAGTGCACACATGTGCAGCAAGCAGCGCATGCAACTCCACATGTACTCACACCATGCACACTGAACCGCACACTCACGCACACACATGCACACGCACACCTGCACGGCCATCCGCGGCCCTGCCCCTACCTTCCCTCCTGCTGTCCCCTCCCTTAGAGCCCCCGGTCACCTCCTGCAGGGGATTTCAAAAGAGGCTGTTTATACAATTTCTAGTAAAGAAATCATTATTATAATCACATTAAGCGATTTGGCTGTAAAATTCCTGTAAAAGGGATGGTTGTTCTCAGGAGGCAGAGGGGCGGGTGGGGTGCGGGGAGGGGCCCCCCGATTGTTTTGCTTGTCCTTGTCCCCTGGCCCTGGGAAGACACTCTTCCACGACGGGAAGGCCCTCTCGCTGGTCCTTGACCTTCTGGGCGGATTTCTGCTGAGCTCAGCGGAAAATGCTCTGCTCGGTCGCGGCTCCCACGTGTGGGGGGCGGGAGGCAGCGGAGGGGGGCTCGGGCCCTTCCCCAAAACAGAACAACAATAACAGCCGGCCGCTGCGGGAGCCAGGCCGGCCAGGGGCCTGGACAGTGTCCCATGGAAACAGCCAGTGAAGGGAGGTTTGCTCTTGGCGGACCAGCGCCGCGGCGCCGCTCACTTTTGCGGCTTCCTCGGCTTGCTCCTCAGAGACCTTCTCCGGGGTGCCTGGTGCTGAGGGGTGGGCTGCCCCTTCCCCAGGCCTGCACTCTCCTCCAGACCCTCCCTCTGAGGGCCTTGAGACCCTTGTGTCCCGGGATGCGTACGACCCCTGACCCCCACCTATGCTCCAGGCCTCGTCCAGCTCTGCTTCCCAGAACCAAAGTTGGCAGGCCGTGCCTGGAGGCCTCTGGGAAGCAGGGCCCTGGCGTCCCCTCTGGGCCTAGAGCGGGCCTGGCAGGGGCAGGGCTGGAGGACACCCCTGTGGCCTCTCCTCACTTGGTCAGCTCCCAGAGGTGCCAAGCTGCCAGGGCCAGAGTCCAGTAGTCACAAGACACCCACTGGCTCCAGGGCCTTCCCGCCTTGGGCATCCGCTGCCCCTGCCCCTCAGGTCTAGGAGGCCCACGCTTCTGTGGAGCGCTTGACCGAGTGCTCATGTGACAGGGCAGAGCCACACCCAGGCAGGTGGACACCTGGCCCAAGCAGGCCCGGGGCTGCCCGAGCATTCCAGGAGCACTGCTGTCCAGAGCCACCCCATGCCCTCCACGTGGCTGGGGAAGCGAGGCCTGTGGGGGTGGGCGTGCCTGTGGCCTGGCAGGGCTCAGGGTCCTCACAGCTGGTGCTGTTGCCCAGACTGGGTGGGCGCCATGCCACTGTTGAAGGAGCATGGTCACAGGGGGCAGCAGGCGGGGAGGACCGCCAGCAAAGGCAGCTAGGCCAGGGTCAGGGTGGTGCAGACACATGGGCCTCACAGGCCTGCCCACTAGTGGTCAGCATCCCCGGGTCCTGGGAGGGAGCACAGGGCAGGACCAGGTGAGGAGGGGTCAGGGTGCTGCCTGCCTGGGCTCTGGGACCGGCCCTGCTGAGCTGCCCTGCTCCAGGGGACCATGGGTGGGCACAGCCAGGTTGTCTGCCTCTCCTCCAAGCACTTGGGGGACCCAGGGCTAGGGGGACAGCAGCCCTGACAGACCAGAGCCAGAGGCCGCACGGTGCCTGTGACCATCCCTCGAGCAGCAGCCTCGGCCCGCCCTGACCCACAGCTCCTGACCCCCGTATGGCCCCAGCCCATGGCCCCAGCTGGCCCCTAGAGCCACATGCTCCTCCCCCAGGCCGAGAGGCTGCGGACACGGCTGGCCGAGGCCCAGGAAGGGCTGGCCGTGCTGCGCCGGGAGCTTCAGGGCAGCGAGGAGAGCCGTGAGGGGCTGCACAGGGAGGTCCTGGAGGCCCGCCGGGCACTGGCTGACGAGGCCCAGGAGAAGGACGTGCTGCAGCGTTCCAACACCGAGCTGCGGGCCGCCATCCACAGGGCAGAGCGAGAGAAGGCCAGGTATGGAGGCTGCCCGCAGAGTGGCTGTGAAGGCACCTCCCGGCCCCACAGCTCACCCAGGCCTCAGCGGGGGCAGAGTGGGTGGGTGTCAATGTCCTGTTGAGCGGGGCCAGATGATGGTGGGTATGTCAAGCAGACTCATGATGTCAGCTGCCCAGCCAAGGGGTCAGCAGTGCTGGCCCATTAGGAGCCGATCCTCTCCTCCAGGGGTTCCTGCCTAGAAGGAGGACAGGGGCCAAGTGGCCAGCAGGAGGCGGCCAAGGCTTGGGAGCAGAGGAACCCATGGGAGGGACCGCAAATCCAGGGCTGCAGCCCTTGCAGGCTGGCACTGGACAGTGGGTGTCGGAGGGTGGCTGGAGGGAGGGCAGCAGTAGGTGAGGGGCTCAAAATGGGGAGAGGGGCAGCCCCATGGGGCCCTCAGACCCACTGTGCCCCAGAGGTGCCAGCCAGCCCCGGGGAGGCTGGACTCGGGGGTACAGTGCAGTCAAGACACTGGGGAGCGACTCACTGGAGTGGCCGGGAAGGGCATCGAGGGAGATGCCAGGCGCCCCGTTCCTCCCGGCCCAGCCTGTGACCTTCTGCTCAGCCTTCAGCTGTCCAAGGACGAGAAGGAGCAGAAGGTGCTGGTCGTGGAGGAGGCCCGAGTGGCGGCCCAGAAGGAGGCCAGCGAGCTTCGGGCCAGCCTGCGGGACACGGAGCAGGCCTGGGCGGACACCCGCCGGGTGCTCCAGGAGGCCCGCAGACAGGTGGGCCCTGTCCTGGAGCCCCGACCCACAGAGCTGCCCGGCAGCCTCACCCCCAGCCCTGCCCCCGGCCCAGCTCCGGAGCTCAGAAGCCTGTGCCGTTGCCACATTCTGTCCCCACACAGAGCCACTGGCCGAAGGGTCCTGCCCCGGGGGTCACAGATTTCAGGACTCAAACTTAATGGCTTAAAACAGCCATTTTGAGGCTCATGAATAGCACAGAGGGGCAGCTTGGCTCTGCCCACAGGGCGTGCACCCTGGAAGTCCACTCAGCAGGGGACATGATGGCAGGTACCCGGCCACTGGGAGGCAGGCATCTCTGCTTGCAGGCCGCTGGCCGGTGCTGGCTGTCAGCTGGGGCACCTGCGTGTCCCTGAGAGGCCTGGGCTCCCCCCAGCATGGCCGCCTCAGGGCTCCGGGTGAGTCACAGGCACTCCTATCCGATCTGTTCAACCTCACGCCCACCCAGAGCAGGGAGTCTTGTCAAAGCATTTGCAATCATTTCTGCCAAATCCCTGATGACAAGCTGGTTGGTGAGCTGCCTGCAGCAGAAACGGGCACTGGTTGTCAGCCCTCCGTCCCAGACATTCTGCACAGGTCCCCTCGTGGCCCTCCTTTGAGGGGGGGTTCTAGCACCTTCCTTTCCAGATGAGAACACTAAGGCAGAGTGAGGTTAGGTGGTCAGACCAGGGTCACTGTGAGTGGGAGCCAGAAACTGAGCCCAGAGCGCACCCCCACAATCAGTGCCCACGCCCACGTCGCTCCAGGACACTCAGCCGTGTCTTGGGTGCTGAGCCCCCAGGGGAGGCTCCCTCTGCAGGGCGTGAGTGGGGCGGGTGTCCAGGGGCCCAGCATAGGGGCCGGGTGACCCCATCAGCCGCCTCCACACTCCCAGGTGAAGACACTGCAGGCCGAGAACCAGAGGACGAGCCAGGAGGTGGTCCTGCTGCAGGCTCGGGACGCACAGGATGCCCACCGGCAGCAGCAGGGCCGTCAGGAGGTGCTAGAACTGCGGAGGCAGGTGGCCGAGGCGGCGGCTGCCCTCGAGGGCTCCCAGAAGGAGGTAGATGGGTGAAGGGGCACTGGCGGGGGAGGCAGAGGCCACGGTGCTGCCAGGGCCTCAGGACTGAGGGATGTGGGGACTGCTGAGTTCCAGGGCCAGGGCCTGGCTCTTACCCATGGGTGCCCCGTGGCTCCACCTGCCCGCCCCTTCCCAATGGGACTGCGTGTGGTCAGGTCCAGGGAGAGGCCCTCTGACTGAACTAACCCAGGTGAAATGATGCCCCTGCACCCACAGGGCCTCATGTTCTAAAAAAGGGCAGGGTTGCACCCACCCAAGTGAAGCCAGGGTTCTGAGCCCACAGAGGAGTGGGGGCCCTGAGACGACCGATTCTCGAGGGTCCTCAGGACTGCCGGCTTGCTCCCACCCCAACGCCTGCACGCGTGTCCCCACCAGCCCCTCACCAGTGCTCACGGCGCCCACACTGCCTGCCTTCTGTCCTGGCCTGGCCGCTCCACTCTGTCTGCCGCTGGGCCAGTGGCCTCGGACCCCAGCAGACACTGAGAAGGCCTCCCCGGCTTTGGGGCCCGTTAGACACAGTGTCGTGTGCAGGTGCTGCATCGAGCACCCACCATGCCCAGAAAACACGGGCTCACCTCCTGCGGCCTGCATGGCCCTGTGTGACCTCAAGGCCTCTCACCTCCACCTATGAACGGGGCGTCACACTGCAGCTACCAGGGAGGCGATGCAGAGGCGAGCTCGCGGGTGGGCAGGGGCTCTGTAGCTGACAGCTGGGGTCTGGCTGCCTCCTGGCAGGCCTGTCACTTCCCAGGGGTGGCAGTACACCCATTTGTTTCCGTGTTCACTCACAAGCAGCTGAGGGAAACGTGCATGAGAGGAGGCCCCGTGCCAGGGCCTGGGGGCAGACATCAGCCCAGAACCAGGGTCTGCAAGCAGGGGACAGGGCGGCCACACTGCGAACGACAGGAGAGGGCGGCGGGTCGGAGGGAGTCCTTCCAGACCTGGGCACAGCCACCAGAGCAGAGAGGGGAATGTGGCCTGGCACAGGAGCCGTGGAGAGAGGGGCTGCCAGGCGGCCAGAGTGAGGTGACCCGGGAGCGGCGGCCCAGGCCAAGCGAGGGGGGCTGGCCACTCCAAGCCTTGCCATCCTCTCATGCACGGATGCTGTGTGCCGGGGCATGGCTGTCAGGGGCTGGAGCCCTGGTTTCTCCATGGGCAGCCCCCTAGGAAGCCCATGGCGGGGTGTCAGGCCCCCTGAGGTTAGCCACCCCTGGTCTGAGGATGGCATCGACCCGCTTTGTACCACAGGACGTGAGCAGCCGCAAGCAGGGGGTTGGCAGGAGGGGGCAGGAAGGAGGGGCTGGCAGGGGTGGGCAGGGCTTGCGGCCTGGGGCCACGGCCCTGTCTTGCCGGGTTTTCATGCATTTGCGAGTGGGGCTCTCTGCTGTCTGCCAGGATGGGCTCCGGGGTCCCGGGCGTCCTTCTCCAGCTGGGCTCCAGTTCCCTACACCAGACGTGGGCTGGGGGCAGGTCCAAGGCCCTTCCATGCAACGGTGAGGCCGAGAGGCCTGGGGGTGCTTTCAGAGGGCAGGTGTGGGACAGCAACCTCCCTCGGAACCCCCCCCCCCCCCGTGTCCCCGCAGGTCCTGAGGCTGCAGCGGAAGCTGGCAGAGGTGGAGGCCAGAGGCAGAACCTGGGAGAAACACCTGGAGGGGCGCCTGTGTGAGAGCCGGCAGGCAGAGCAGAGCCTCCGGGCAGAGCTCCACAGCGCCACCAGCAGGCTACATCAGGCCAGCGGTGTGGCTGACGGCCTCCAGGCTCGCCTGGACGGGGCCTGCCTCCAGGTCCACAGCCTGCAGCAGGAGCTGGCCCAGGCCGAGGGCGCCAGGCGGGCTGCAGAGAGCCAGCTGGGCCAGCTATGGTCCACGCTGTGCCGAGACCTGGGCCTCCGGGGGCGGAGCCCCTCAGCCTCCCCTGAGAGGCCCAGTTTCCCCACCAAAGGTCAGTGGCTTCAGGTGGGCTCCTGTCCCAGCTCTGCCACCCACCTGGGATACCCCACTCCCTGGGCCTAGATCCTGTACCCCCCAAGCTCCCTGTGGGTGGGCACAGCAGAGGGAAGGGGTCAGGGTGCCTGCATGTCTGTCTCCACCACGTGCTCTCAGCCATCACTGTCCTGCAGCCTTGGATGGTGTCCAAGGTCACTCTGGGTGGCAAAGTGACAGCCCCGCCACCAGGCCCATTCCAATGGCCCTCACCAGCTCTCTGCTCCAACGGCCCTCACCAGCACCTGCAGACCACAGCCCAGATGTGGACGTGGCCGCTGTGCGGGAAGCCCTGAGGGACTTTATGCAGAAGCTGCGGGATGCCCAGCGGGAGCGGGTACGAGGGGCGGACATGCCCTGGGGGCCCAGGAGATAGGAGGAGCTGCTCACGCAGCCTGCTGTCCGTCTGTCTCCATCCTGGGTCTGCTGGCAGGCCCCCGGGGCACCTGGCACCTCAGTGTTCAGACAGACCATAAGTCATGGTCCCTCTGACGGCTGCCCCAGGGCCTGGGCACCCCCTTCATCAGGCCCCGCTGTGACGCCCCCTGGGGTCCAGGGCAGGGCATTCTCCATCCCTGTGCCCACTCCTGCCCCACCCGACCCCCAGGCCTGGCCCTCCACTACCCACCAGGCTGCTCACTCACTGTGGTCCTTCTGCTCAGGACAACTGGCACTTCCAGGTGACAAGCCTGAGCAGCCGGCTGATCCAGGCCGAGGGCGAGTGCGCCCGAGCCCAGAGCCGCGCACAGCAGCTGCAGAAGGCCCTGGCCCAGGTGGAGGAAGGTACCTCCCGCCCTGCCCCAGACGCTCGCCCCGACCGGCACGCCTCCCAGGGGCGCCCCACGCTGGATGGTGCGCAGGCTGGTTCTCAGTGAGGGGTGGGGCCAGAGGCCTGGCAAGGCCCCGCCCACTGCCCCAGACCCTCTGGCACCCTTGGGTGCTGGCTCCCACCTCAGGGCCTTCGCACTGCCAGGGGTCTACTGGGCCCTCTTCCCCAGACGTCACAGGCCTTCCCCCAGCCAGACCAGGGCTCTGCCTGAACTGCCTCAGAGAGGCCCTCCCAACCTGCCAGCCACCCAGGGCACTACTGTCCCCTGCCCCCTCCGGCAGGTCTGCCCAGGAGGCAGGCCCAGGGCCCTGTGGAGTCTGAGGGAGGGTTGGAAGGAAAGAAGGTAGGAGAGAAGGGTGGTGGGGAGAGGCGAGAGGGAACTGGGACCCCAGACCTGCCCTGGCGACCCTGCAGCTTCAGAGACAGAGGGGAAACTGAGTCCTAGGCAGGGAGTGACTTGACCCTCGGATAGACCCCTTCCTCCCAGGCCCAGGGGTTTTCAGGGGGAACCTCTCCAGCCCCCACCATCTGGGTGCCAGTCACTCAAACTCAGTTTCCCGGCCTGTGGAATGGGAGGGGTGACCCCGTGCGTGCGCCCACAGCCCTCGGGAATAGGCGCATGGCCTCCCCACAGGCTGGCGTCAGGCGGAGGGTAAGGCGAGCAGGGCCCAAGCGGCTCAGGCCCTGCAGAGTGCGGCGCTCCAGAGACTGGAGATGGAGCAGCTGGCGGGCACACGGGCAGCAGGCCAGGCCAGGCGGCGGCTGCAGGTGGGGACCCTGACGGGGACACCCGCACCCCAGGGCAGGGCGGGAGGAGGCCTGGGTGGGCTTCTGCAGGAGGCGGCGTTTGGCTCCCTGCGTGCCAGCTCAGGCAGCCTTGGGGGGCAAAGGGCACTCGCAGAGCTCATCAGGGCTCTCCCTGCCCCAGTCCTTATTTAACAGATTGGGGAAACTGAGTCCTGGGCAGGGAGTGACTTGACCCTCGGGTAGACCCCTTCCTCTCAGGCCCATCGGCCCTCCTGGAAGGTACAGAGTGGCAAGGGGCCCTGGAGCCCTTGGGAGGTCACACTAACGCCACTGCAGGACCGTTACCTGTCCTGCGTCACTCGGGTGCAGAAGGAGTTTGCACAGGATGGACTTGGTGAAGGCCCCCACTTGCGGGCCTCGTGCTGTGAAGGTGACCTCAGGGGCTGTGGTTTTCAGGAGAGGAAGCTGGGCCTGGTCGGGGCAGGCCTGCATGGAGGGGCCGGCACACATGGCTCCTCACCGCTCGCATGGGGAGCCCCATGCCCCTCTCTGTCCAGGCCATAGGTGGAAGCAACCTGGGTTGTCCTAAGGGCCCCCTGGCAGGACGGGGCTGGGAGACAGCTGGGTCTGCGCCTTTGCAGAGAGCTCCTGAGGACCTCAGAGGCATGGAGAACAGGGTGCCGGCTGAGGGGCAAGGGCCCATGGAGGTGGCTACACCTGGGGTCAGGAACCAGGGGCTAGAAGCACGGGGCTAATGGGGGCAGCAGAGCCCAGGGAGGGCGGGACAGACACGCACAGTCCCACAAGCACCACGAGCTACAGGTCACGCCCCTGCAAGGGTCTTGTGAGGACACAACTCTGGATGTGGGGTTCTGCAGGGAAGGTGGGCCAGGGGAGGCTCTCGGGGGGCAGGTGCCAAGCCTGGCTGTGCTGGGTCCCTTCAGGGCCGAGCCTGGAGCCCAGTGGCCCTCAGAGGCTGGGTCGCAGGGCCTGGTTCTCTGGGAAGGGGACTCCTGAGGGGACCGTGGAACCGCAGACCTGGGGCTGCCAAGTGCCAAAGTGCCCAGGCGGTGAGGCTAAGACCAGCCTGCTCATTCGTCAGGCAAACCTGCCACATGTATGGGGGGCACACTCAGTGGGGTCTGTCACGGCCTCAGGAGCACGGGACTCATGGGCACCTGAGAACCCGCGTGAGGGGGGAGGGGCTGTGCTCCATTTCACACGTATGTTCACATGTATTTGTTCTGTGCACATTTGACAATAACGTTTTCTGTGTGCAGGTCCCATATTTTGAAATACACCTATTAAGTCAACCTTTACAAATCTGTTGTCCAGCCGTCCACACGGGATCTGTGTCCCGAGGTCGCCAAAGCCAAGAGTGATGCATTGAATTTTCCCACAGCAGCTTTTCAGTGCTCACGGCGCCCACACTGCCTGCCTTCTGTCCTGGCCTGGCCGCTCCACTCTGTCTGCCGCTGGGCCAGTGGCCTCGGACCCCAGCAGACACTGAGAAGGCCTCCCCGGCTTTGGGGCCCGTTAGACACAGTGTCGTGTGCAGGTGCTGCATCGAGCACCCACCATGCCCAGAAAACACGGGCTCACCTCCTGCGGCCTGCATGGCCCTGTGTGACCTCAAGGCCTCTCACCTCCACCTATGAACGGGGCGTCACACTGCAGCTACCAGGGAGGCGATGCAGAGGCGAGCTCGCGGGTGGGCAGGGGCTCTGTAGCTGACAGCTGGGGTCTGGCTGCCTCCTGGCAGGCCTGTCACTTCCCAGGGGTGGCAGTACACCCATTTGTTTCCGTGTTCACTCACAAGCAGCTGAGGGAAACGTGCATGAGAGGAGGCCCCGTGCCAGGGCCTGGGGGCAGACATCAGCCCAGAACCAGGGTCTGCAAGCAGGGGACAGGGCGGCCACACTGCGAACGACAGGAGAGGGCGGCGGGTCGGAGGGAGTCCTTCCAGACCTGGGCACAGCCACCAGAGCAGAGAGGGGAATGTGGCCTGGCACAGGAGCCGTGGAGAGAGGGGCTGCCAGGCGGCCAGAGTGAGGTGACCCGGGAGCGGCGGCCCAGGCCAAGCGAGGGGGGCTGGCCACTCCAAGCCTTGCCATCCTCTCATGCACGGATGCTGTGTGCCGGGGCATGGCTGTCAGGGGCTGGAGCCCTGGTTTCTCCATGGGCAGCCCCCTAGGAAGCCCATGGCGGGGTGTCAGGCCCCCTGAGGTTAGCCACCCCTGGTCTGAGGATGGCATCGACCCGCTTTGTACCACAGGACGTGAGCAGCCGCAAGCAGGGGGTTGGCAGGAGGGGGCAGGAAGGAGGGGCTGGCAGGGGTGGGCAGGGCTTGCGGCCTGGGGCCACGGCCCTGTCTTGCCGGGTTTTCATGCATTTGCGAGTGGGGCTCTCTGCTGTCTGCCAGGATGGGCTCCGGGGTCCCGGGCGTCCTTCTCCAGCTGGGCTCCAGTTCCCTACACCAGACGTGGGCTGGGGGCAGGTCCAAGGCCCTTCCATGCAACGGTGAGGCCGAGAGGCCTGGGGGTGCTTTCAGAGGGCAGGTGTGGGACAGCAACCTCCCTCGGAACCCCCCCCCCCCCCGTGTCCCCGCAGGTCCTGAGGCTGCAGCGGAAGCTGGCAGAGGTGGAGGCCAGAGGCAGAACCTGGGAGAAACACCTGGAGGGGCGCCTGTGTGAGAGCCGGCAGGCAGAGCAGAGCCTCCGGGCAGAGCTCCACAGCGCCACCAGCAGGCTACATCAGGCCAGCGGTGTGGCTGACGGCCTCCAGGCTCGCCTGGACGGGGCCTGCCTCCAGGTCCACAGCCTGCAGCAGGAGCTGGCCCAGGCCGAGGGCGCCAGGCGGGCTGCAGAGAGCCAGCTGGGCCAGCTATGGTCCACGCTGTGCCGAGACCTGGGCCTCCGGGGGCGGAGCCCCTCAGCCTCCCCTGAGAGGCCCAGTTTCCCCACCAAAGGTCAGTGGCTTCAGGTGGGCTCCTGTCCCAGCTCTGCCACCCACCTGGGATACCCCACTCCCTGGGCCTAGATCCTGTACCCCCCAAGCTCCCTGTGGGTGGGCACAGCAGAGGGAAGGGGTCAGGGTGCCTGCATGTCTGTCTCCACCACGTGCTCTCAGCCATCACTGTCCTGCAGCCTTGGATGGTGTCCAAGGTCACTCTGGGTGGCAAAGTGACAGCCCCGCCACCAGGCCCATTCCAATGGCCCTCACCAGCTCTCTGCTCCAACGGCCCTCACCAGCACCTGCAGACCACAGCCCAGATGTGGACGTGGCCGCTGTGCGGGAAGCCCTGAGGGACTTTATGCAGAAGCTGCGGGATGCCCAGCGGGAGCGGGTACGAGGGGCGGACATGCCCTGGGGGCCCAGGAGATAGGAGGAGCTGCTCACGCAGCCTGCTGTCCGTCTGTCTCCATCCTGGGTCTGCTGGCAGGCCCCCGGGGCACCTGGCACCTCAGTGTTCAGACAGACCATAAGTCATGGTCCCTCTGACGGCTGCCCCAGGGCCTGGGCACCCCCTTCATCAGGCCCCGCTGTGACGCCCCCTGGGGTCCAGGGCAGGGCATTCTCCATCCCTGTGCCCACTCCTGCCCCACCCGACCCCCAGGCCTGGCCCTCCACTACCCACCAGGCTGCTCACTCACTGTGGTCCTTCTGCTCAGGACAACTGGCACTTCCAGGTGACAAGCCTGAGCAGCCGGCTGATCCAGGCCGAGGGCGAGTGCGCCCGAGCCCAGAGCCGCGCACAGCAGCTGCAGAAGGCCCTGGCCCAGGTGGAGGAAGGTACCTCCCGCCCTGCCCCAGACGCTCGCCCCGACCGGCACGCCTCCCAGGGGCGCCCCACGCTGGATGGTGCGCAGGCTGGTTCTCAGTGAGGGGTGGGGCCAGAGGCCTGGCAAGGCCCCGCCCACTGCCCCAGACCCTCTGGCACCCTTGGGTGCTGGCTCCCACCTCAGGGCCTTCGCACTGCCAGGGGTCTACTGGGCCCTCTTCCCCAGACGTCACAGGCCTTCCCCCAGCCAGACCAGGGCTCTGCCTGAACTGCCTCAGAGAGGCCCTCCCAACCTGCCAGCCACCCAGGGCACTACTGTCCCCTGCCCCCTCCGGCAGGTCTGCCCAGGAGGCAGGCCCAGGGCCCTGTGGAGTCTGAGGGAGGGTTGGAAGGAAAGAAGGTAGGAGAGAAGGGTGGTGGGGAGAGGCGAGAGGGAACTGGGACCCCAGACCTGCCCTGGCGACCCTGCAGCTTCAGAGACAGAGGGGAAACTGAGTCCTAGGCAGGGAGTGACTTGACCCTCGGATAGACCCCTTCCTCCCAGGCCCAGGGGTTTTCAGGGGGAACCTCTCCAGCCCCCACCATCTGGGTGCCAGTCACTCAAACTCAGTTTCCCGGCCTGTGGAATGGGAGGGGTGACCCCGTGCGTGCGCCCACAGCCCTCGGGAATAGGCGCATGGCCTCCCCACAGGCTGGCGTCAGGCGGAGGGTAAGGCGAGCAGGGCCCAAGCGGCTCAGGCCCTGCAGAGTGCGGCGCTCCAGAGACTGGAGATGGAGCAGCTGGCGGGCACACGGGCAGCAGGCCAGGCCAGGCGGCGGCTGCAGGTGGGGACCCTGACGGGGACACCCGCACCCCAGGGCAGGGCGGGAGGAGGCCTGGGTGGGCTTCTGCAGGAGGCGGCGTTTGGCTCCCTGCGTGCCAGCTCAGGCAGCCTTGGGGGGCAAAGGGCACTCGCAGAGCTCATCAGGGCTCTCCCTGCCCCAGTCCTTATTTAACAGATTGGGGAAACTGAGTCCTGGGCAGGGAGTGACTTGACCCTCGGGTAGACCCCTTCCTCTCAGGCCCATCGGCCCTCCTGGAAGGTACAGAGTGGCACGGGGCCCTGGAGCCCTTGGGAGGTCACACTAACGCCACTGCAGGACCGTTACCTGTCCTGCGTCACTCGGGTGCAGAAGGAGTTTGCACAGGATGGACTTGGTGAAGGCCCCCACTTGCGGGCCTCGTGCTGTGAAGGTGACCTCAGGGGCTGTGGTTTTCAGGAGAGGAAGCTGGGCCTGGTCGGGGCAGGCCTGCATGGAGGGGCCGGCACACATGGCTCCTCACCGCTCGCATGGGGAGCCCCATGCCCCTCTCTGTCCAGGCCATAGGTGGAAGCAACCTGGGTTGTCCTAAGGGCCCCCTGGCAGGACGGGGCTGGGAGACAGCTGGGTCTGCGCCTTTGCAGAGAGCTCCTGAGGACCTCAGAGGCATGGAGAACAGGGTGCCGGCTGAGGGGCAAGGGCCCATGGAGGTGGCTACACCTGGGGTCAGGAACCAGGGGCTAGAAGCACGGGGCTAATGGGGGCAGCAGAGCCCAGGGAGGGCGGGACAGACACGCACAGTCCCACAAGCACCACGAGCTACAGGTCACACCCCTGCAAGGGTCTTGTGAGGACACAACTCTGGATGTGGGGTTCTGCAGGGAAGGTGGGCCAGGGGAGGCTCTCGGGGGGCAGGTGCCAAGCCTGGCTGTGCTGGGTCCCTTCAGGGCCGAGCCTGGAGCCCAGTGGCCCTCAGAGGCTGGGTCGCAGGGCCTGGTTCTCTGGGAAGGGGACTCCTGAGGGGACCGTGGAACCGCAGACCTGGGGCTGCCAAGTGCCAAAGTGCCCAGGCGGTGAGGCTAAGACCAGCCTGCTCATTCGTCAGGCAAACCTGCCACATGTATGGGGGGCACACTCAGTGGGGTCTGTCACGGCCTCAGGAGCACGGGACTCATGGGCACCTGAGAACCCGCGTGAGGGGGGAGGGGCTGTGCTCCATTTCACACGTATGTTCACATGTATTTGTTCTGTGCACATTTGACAATAACGTTTTCTGTGTGCAGGTCCCATATTTTGAAATACACCTATTAAGTCAACCTTTACAAATCTGTTGTCCAGCCGTCCACACGGGATCTGTGTCCCGAGGTCGCCAAAGCCAAGAGTGATGCATTGAATTTTCCCACAGCAGCTTTTTGGCACCGCCTCCTTTTATTTCCAAGGGTCTTTGATTCACAGGTTTCCTTGACATGCTGTTTGGAATTTGGTTCCCCCGCAGCTCCAGCCCATTGAGGCCTGGAGGCCTCGTGCCCCGTTCGATGCTGTTTTTCTTGGACTCTGCCTCAGCGGCGCAGGCAGTGCCACCACCCACCCTCTCCTCACGGCCCCGCGCTTCTGCTCCTCACGTTCTCAGGCACCATTCCATCCGCCTGGCCTTGGCCTCACTCCCACCTCGGGGTCTCGGGGAGTTCCCCTCACTAGTCTTGTGGTGGCTGGCCCTGTGCTGCTGCTTTCGCGCCTCCTCGTGGCCTGCGCTGCACCATCACGGGGGCTCTCTGCTCCCCCTCTGGGGTCGGCCTCCTGGCACCACCCCTTTCCCTGTGTGGCTCCTCATGGGCCCTGGGACCACTGAGGGGCAAGCCTGGAGGCCAGTGTTGTGGCCCTGGGCTCCGGGCTCCTGCGCCTGTGTCCCGGGGGCTGAAGGGGGCCCCTTGCTCTGCCTCCTGCACACCTGCTCTGCCCCTGTCTTTCTCCTGAGGGCCAGCAGGGTCCAGGAAGGACCTGCCCCTGAGTCTGAGCCCCCGGCCCAGGGTCTGTGGACGCAGGGGCCATCTGCTCTCGGCAGCCCTCATTTGGTGTACTGTTTTCCCATCACTGCTGGCCACCAATCCCCGAGGAGTGAAGGGTGAACCCATTTGTGGTCCCCCAGTCCTGCAGGCCAGAAGTTCCTGTGGCCAGCTGGGGTCTCTCCGCGGGGTTGCTTTGGGGTGGGGGGAATCCCCACGGGGGCATGCAGGCGTCGGCAGGGTTCTGGTCCCTGTGGCTGTGGGGCTGGGGTCCCATTTCCTGGCTGTTGGCTGAGGGTGGCGTGCTCTGGAGGCTTCTGCCGTGTCCCGGCCGGGGCATGCCTGCGAGCTCTGACATCACCAAGACCACAGGAGTCTCCTCACACTCACGGCCCACAACTGCCCCTCTGCCCCAGCCTACAGGGCCTATGGGATTCATTAGGCCCACCTGAAAATCTCCCCTTTGATTAACTCAGAGCAAGCCAACTGATTGGTGGCCTTGATTATATCTGCGACGTAATCTAACACAATCGTGGATGACATCAGGGCCACAGGTTCCAGGCCATCCCAGAGCTCTGCCTCCCGCAGCTGGCTGCAGCAGTGTGCACCATGTCACCTGAATTCTGCATGCACGCAGGTGACACAGGTGAATGACTCACATCCCCACTCTCTGGGAGGGGCCTGTTTTTCCTTAGTTTCTTTTACTGTTTTTCCTCTGACCTCAGTCTCAGATGGGCTCAGGAAGTGTAAGGGTTTTGTGGGTCATTTGAATGATACCTTCCAGAGTGGAAGCTAGAAAGCAACTTATCTTTGAAATCCGGAAATGCTGGAACGCCTCCGTGAGTCGGTTCCCTCTGTCCTCCTGCCGGTGCCCGGGGAGCCCTCTGCCTGGGCAGGAACAGCTCTGTCTTTAGTTCAGCAAGTTCTTTGCACTTCAAAGACATCTCTTCTCTTCCGTCTTGCCCGACCAACCTTCTGTCCTGGAATCCACAGCAGCCCAGCACCGCTCTCTGGCCCTCCTCGCCGACCTGCATGGGTGTCACGGTCCCCCTGCCGAGTCCAGGAGGATTTGGGGTCTCCCTCCTGCTTGGCTGATCCGACTGCCTCTGTGTCTGATCTGATCCCTGCCTCAATGCCATCCTGGGCTGGTGCTTTTATCTTGATGGTTCACTCGGGGGCTCCCCACCCTGGTCTCATCTTCTTGAGAATGTCAGTTAACATTCTCTGATATATATTTGCATTTCTTGCAGTATCTCTGTTCTCTTTTTAATTTGTGATCCTCACATCTGATTCCTTGGACTGACTGTCTATTGAACTGCAGTGGATTACAAATTATGTCATGACATTTTCCTTTGCATGACTTTAAAAAAGGGGGTCTGGTCTTGTTCAAAGCTGAGAGTGAGAGGAACCCGTCTGGGACTCCAGGCGTCCCTGTCCTCATAGTTCAGGTGCAAATAAAGGGCAGAAAAAGGGTCCAAGGGAGCCGTGGGGAGGTGTGGGGAGCTGCAGGGTGCTGTGCAGAGCCACGGGGAGCCTTGGGGTTCTGGCGTAGCAGTGGAGGCAGCAGTGAACACTCACCAGAGCTCTTCTGTCTCCAGGACAGGGAGGTGAGGGTCCCACTCTCAGGGCCCATCTGTGGTGTCCTCACACCCTCTTCCCCCGCTTGCATGCCAGGGGTTTGGGGCCTTCCCAACCCTTACCTGCCGGGACCCCCATCCTGGAGGCCTCCCCTCCACCTCCCTGCAGCCCCTCTAGCCTAGGCCTTCTGAGTCAGGGCCCCCAGGGTACCAGAGGTGTCGAATGTGGGTCTCCAAAGTCTGACGCAGAGAGCTCTTCCGGGTGTTGTTCAGATCTCTACCCATGTTGACTTATCTGCTTGATCAAGAATTTACTCAGTTTCTTAGTGAAGTGCGTGTGCTGAAATCTATCGATATTACACCCAGTTTGCCTTAGAGGCTGGCGGTCACCCGTCCTCCTGCTGGTCCCATTTGCCCTCCCTCTTGGGGGTGCCCTGAGAGTCCCGGGCCTCCGCCTTGGGTGTAGGCCATGTGGTGGGTGCCTGGGAAGAGGACTGGGGCACACTCAGCAGGAGGCCCTAGGCACTTCCCCAGCAGTGCCCCTGGGCAGCAGTGTCCCCAGCGGCTAGGGGCAGGAACCCACTGCCCGCACCTTGGCTGTGGCAGGCCGCCAAGCCGCCAACTTTCTCAGTTTCACATGAACCGATGTGTTCGTCAAGAGGAAGTTAATTAAAAACACATTTTTCTAATTAAATGGTAGGCTGTGCTATGCAAACAGTAAGATTCTTGTTTGAGAGCAAATCTCTCCTCGTTTCCAGGGCTACCCTGGGAATTCAATAGATCAACAATGCAGAACTGAGCCCAGAGAATTAGGACGCACGCCCAGCACTGCACGTGGGGGTCCTGCAGTGGCTGGATGGGCCTCAGAGCCAACAGGAAGCGTGGGCAGAGGACCTGGCACTCGCCCACCGGGAGAGGCCACGAGGTCACCTTCGGCTCAGAGCCAGGTCACAGCCTCCACAGCTTGAGGGGCTCCCAGGGTCCCACTCTTGGCCCCCGGTGCCAGCCTGGGCATCCTTCCCTCTTCCCCTGAGGGCTCTCCTCCAAGGCCCCAGCAGTTTCAGTCCGGGCTCTAGAGGCAAGGTGGGTCTTCTGGGCTGGCAGGGCCCATGGTGCAGCTGGAGTTGGCTCCGGACGCTTTGTCAGCAACGTCTGCATGTTAGTCCTTTCAAGTGCCACATTTATCAGATTTCTTGAGTGTTAAGATTATCTTATCTTCATAAAATGAGCTGGTGAGCTTTCCATCTTTATTCTTACAATAAAGCCAACTAGAGAAGAGAAAATGTTTTTTCAAACTGTTGCAAATCTCCAAAAAGTTTTCCAATATATGTATGAAAAAAAATCCTCATTGAATAGACCCACGCGGTTCAAACCTGTCAGCTGTACATCGTAATTCGCTACTCCAGCCCTGTTCTACTGCTGGTCCCAGTTGGTTTTCCATCTC